GGCCGAGATATCGAGGCGATGGAGAACTTCCACTTCGTCCCGTCTTATCGTCTGCCTCCTCTCGTCGTGGCGCACGCGATTAGACTCGGAGCAAATGGAAGCTTATGGGCTCCGTGCATTAGGGCGAGATGCCTCCGTCACGCCGGGAGGATTTTTTGCACGGAGTCCGTGTCGAAGAAGGGCTTTTGGTCTCGGCACGATCGTGACCGAAACTCGTAGCATTCGAGTCCCTTTGCTTCCGTGAAAATTTGCGCATGGAATGGGCTGCCGGTAACTCTTTCCACGGAGGAGTAGCTCGCCCCTCGTATTATTTTCACCGTTTCGAGAGCCACAATTTCAATTACCTGCAGGAAGTGGTCGATGTGCTCCCAGAAGAAAATCAGTTGCCGGTTTTTTGTACGGTGTGCTGGTAATAGGCGAGAGGAAACCTTGACTTTTCCGACACTGAGAAAGCTCACAAGGTTGCATAACCGATACATGGTAGAACCATCTATCGACAGAGCAGGGATTCGAATTCCACCATTTTGAATTCTCCACCCTCTAAGACGTGTTGGAAGTTGTGGGAGTTGAGGTTGAAACCGCAATTCGGAGACGTTTCCACATCCCGGGCTCTTTCATGGCTCGTGACTGTCGACACGAAATCGGTTCATTTAATCATTCATTCGACCTAGCTCGGTGGTTTTATGCTGAAATATGAAGCATTCCGTCACTCGACGTCTCCTCTGTAGTATTATCTAGCTCCACCGGATCGACTCGTCGGCATGCCGACGTCTCGACCGATCGACAGGTCGTCGAAAATCTGGACGAAGGAATGACGCGTAGGAGTGGGTCTCCCGTTTCCAGGAATGCCAACGGGTCCACGAGCCGAGTGAGATGATCGGTCGACGGGTCCACCACTCGACCGGAGCGGGATCACCGGTCGACGGGTGAACCGGATGGCTGGTCGATGGGTGGACGAGTCCCCATTCGTCCGTCGAGCAGTCATCCCACTTGGGGGGAATGGAATGGGGACGCAACCCGGAATTCGCCGTGTAATCGGGCGTGTACGTCGAATCTCGAGGGCCGTGCCAAGTATCAACGAGATTGTTTTTTACTGTGAGTCATAAAATGCTCGAGTGCGTCATGATCATCGGCTGTGGGAACGACACGAGTGGGCTGGAACCTCGATGAAGTGGGCCCTCGTTACGTGTTTCTCTCGCAACTTACATCAGCCCCGCTCGAGAGAGAGGTTTCCTCTTCCGCGTTTAAATCCCTCGTCTGTCGTCCACTGCAGACTTCACCGACGTTGAATTTATTTATCTGCTCGGCATGCATGGAGAACTCGTTTCCTTATTACCGGCGAGGTCTCCTTGATGGAGATGCGAGAAGAGGGTGAGAGCCTCTCAGAACCTCTGTCGGTTGCGGGCGCCACTCCCAGCTTCCCACGCAAACTCATAGACGAGCGAGGCGCACCTCACTCTTTCCGTAATTGATGCATGAAATTGATGCTTTCAATGCATGAAAAGTGTTCATCGATTGCATTCTTCGATTGAGTTCACCCCCTCTGGATCATGATGCAGGTCGATTGCATCTGCTCTGCGATTGAATTCACTCCCCGTGTTCTTCGAAACGGGGGAGAACTTTTCCCTCATTTTCGGGGTTCAAAGTGCCGTATATTTCATTAGAAATGGCCGGTGATGTATATGCTTTCTCGGTCGTTTGCTGCTCCCTCGGAGTGCGAGATATCACTCAGAGAGCGAGAGAGAGGAAGTGGAACATGGTTCCAATTCTCACCATCACCGCAACCTCGAGGCAGTGAAGTTTAGTCCACGAATGTCACTTTTTACACATGTCCTCCATGCTGGAGGTTTTACTGCGAACAGAAGCGATAGTCTTTTAGCTTTATCGACGCGCATACGAAGGGAAGCAGATCGAACAAAAGGGAGCATAGTTCTCTCACAAAGAAAAAGCTTCTAAAGCGTTCTCTTTCATGAAAATTTTCCCTGTGAATAATGGGTGCATGTGATGGATGATTGATGGATGACGATTGATGGTGGGAAACAGTTGCACAACCTGTGTGCACCCGGAGTGAAACCGGAGTGTAACCTGGGGGAGTTACGGACTCACATCTTACCACCGACTGCCATCTGCCCCATCGTGTTGGATCGTCAGAAGAGCCTGATGTCCCGATCGGAGTCCGGTGGCATGACGACCTCGATCGACCCGGGAGGGATAGGGGTCGGGTCGCCCATGAGCTTCCAGATCTCGCCTCTCCCGAACACCAGGCCGCTTTTGGTCTTCATCAATCCCAAATCCGGCGGGAGGCAAGGGGTGAAACTCCTTCGCAAGTTCCAGTACCTTCTCAATCCCAGACAGGTCGTTCATCCTCTTTTCTCATCCGTCTCGCTCCTTCACTTATGGGTTGTATGACGTGAGGTGTCATGTGCAGGTGTACAACCTGGCAAAGGGAGGACCTATGGGGGGTCTGCAGATTTTCAAAGACGCCCCGTGTTTCCGCGTGCTCTGCTGCGGGGGAGACGGGACGGTGGGATGGGTCCTCGAGTCCATGGGTATCTCTCGTCCGTTCCTTCCTCGAGTGTCCCGCGGTGGGATCGAAGGTGGATCGTTTTTTTCCTTTTCCTTTCAGACAAGGTGGGGATGGGGACGGGGGGAGGGCCGCAGCCGTCCGTGGGTGTCATCCCTCTGGGGACCGGGAACGACCTCGCCAGATGCCTCCGATGGGGTGGAGGCTACGAGGGGGAATCGCTCTACAAGATCCTCAAGGTATGGAGGGCCTGCTTCCTTTTCTCTCCTTTTCTGCCTCGGTCATTAGGGGGGGACAATCGGACGTTGTGATGGGGAGCGCGACACTTCCGACTCGGAAATGGTATTCAGGAAACGCCCATTTCCTCTACTCCTTTTCTCCTTTCTTGAAAAAAAAAAATATATATATATAAAAAGAAAAAGAAAAAAGAAAAGAAGGGACGTTGTTGCCATAAAGTCCATGCGGCTCAGGCGCCTCTCTGCTCTATCTTCCGCCCATACAAAATCCCATCCCCTCCTCTCCGGAATATAGAATAGAAGGGGATCGGGAAGAGTGCCAAAAGGCTCTTAGATGTGACGTCACATTAAAGCCGCTCCGCTCTCCGGTCCTTCTCCTTCCTTTGACTTCGAGCTTCAGCGAACCTTGGGCAAACATCCTCACATGGGTGGTCACAATTATTCGCGAGCGGAGAATATGACGAGTGGAGGAAGTGGGACGCGTCCCCCCCCCCACCGCGAATGGAAAGTTCCGTCACGTTTGGGACCCAATGGAAGGAAGAGGGGAAAAGGCATCGGGCAGGGAGTGATTTCGATCCGCGATAAATTTAGAAGTGGCATCCTGGGCTCTTTCCTTACTCTGTTTATTTCCTCGATCCTTGCGTCATGCTAGCCGTTCGAGATACGAATGACGTCGACAGATCTAAGGGTTCCGCCTTTCGTGCTTCTTTCGTCTGCGCACGGGTGCCATCGTGAGGAAAGATTCTTCGAGCAGTTAGTGTACGAGGACGAAATCGTCCCGTCGCGTATCGGCTGCGAGAACGAAAAATTTCACGGTTGTCCTCTTTCGACTCGATCACCCGCCGCTGATGGGTGGGACCCGTCGAGGGGGCTTCTGCGCCCTTGGAGCGAATTCCCGCCGTGTCTCACCAGCGGGAGGTCATGCGAAAACGCGCAAATGGAAAAAAAAAATACCTGGAAAGTGGCCAACGAGTCTTTTGTGTTGTTTTTTCTCTGTCGACAGCTCGAAGATAAATTTTAGTACATACCATATACAATTGAATATCGTTCCTCGGAGACCAGACCTACACGAGAAGCAAAAGAATGGCAGAAGCAGCTTCTTCATTGCTTTTTTCCAGTCCTTACGTAAAGAGTAATAGGAAAAGAAGAATAATGATTTCCCATGGAATGCTGAAAAAAAAACCTGGAAGCCTTTGTCTTATTATCTCCGTTCCAACCCGTTTTCGGCATCGGAAACCATGCCTTCCCGGCGTTGATTGAATGCCGATTCTGCGATCGAGTTGAAGTTTGAATAGAGAAACTTGATTCCTTCCTCGTGGGCTCCGAGCTCATCAAGATTCATCGGTAACGGAAGAGTACTTTCGAAAATGCGTGCTTACGCGGTCGGGGATCGGCTTTTTCCTTTGGCAACGCTCCATGCAGTTTATCAAAACGAATGGACCGATTTGATGAAAGGTGGCGCCGAGGAACTCGTCTTGCGTCTGGCTTTTCACGAGTACTTGAGACGCGGGAGGTCCCGATGAGTACTTGCAATTAATTGACTGAATCGGCAAGAAAAAGGAGCATATTTGGACTCGTCCTGCCACGAGACTGAAAAGTGCGGAAAGTGCTGAAAGGTACTCGGAGCAGAAAAGCCTGCCGGAGAGCAGATACTTCTGAAACGATTTCGACGACTGAGGAATCGCTTCCCAATGAGAAAGGATTTTCTCGAGGATGGCACGGTCTGAATACGGCATCGAAACGAACCTTTTACCCTATTTAAAATAAGTATCAATATCTATCCGTAAATCACTCCTCGTCTTCGACTCCTCTTCGACTCGGGTATTTTCCCGCCGAGATGTTCCACCTCCAAAACGTCTTGCACAACGTGGAATTGTGCAACGTTCCTTGCTCAATCGACAATGTTTTTACTAATTTCGTCCGAGAAGAATGCTAAGCGACATGTCGGCGAAGGCTCCAGGCTGCCGTGACGAGTGGTTCTTCGTCGTTTGAGGACCCTTTCACCGGCTGATGACTATCTGGTATTCCAAGGTGAAGGGGCACGAGAGATTCCATCTATGACGAAGTGTCCTCGGCTGCTCGGACGGCAACGAGAGCTTCCACCGCCAATTTTTAAGACTTTCTCTCTTCTATGCTTTTTTTTTATTTGAAAATCTGTCTCTGGAGTTTTTCAAATTAATAGTTCCGAAACGAGTTTCCTAGATGTGTTATTGCCAGGATCGTTTCCTTCGTAGACGACGGTCCATTTTAAATGTTAGTGTTTCTGATGTGAATCGGGTCAGTCCGGCCGACACCGTGCCGCCGAGTTAATGGCAACAACAGAATCGCCTTCCGAGTTTTCCTTCGAAAACGAAGACAGAAAAATCATCGGGGGGAGAATGCCGGACACCCGACTTCGATCATTCGATGAAACATGCAAAGTAGCCTACGTGCCCCGGAAATAAACGATCGAGTTTGAGAGAAGCAGAGTGAAAAGCAAGGATTTGCACGATTCGCTCGATCCACCCGATTTCTGCATTCGCATTGTTGCGCCTTGGATCTCTCGTAATCGTTTCTTCTTGCAAATCGAGGAGCGAGGACTCGTTCTCTCCGAGGATTCTATAGAATTAATTTTCTCCTTCAGTGAAACGGACTTTCCTCGTTGAATTGCGATTCTAAAGACTCGTTAGGAAGTCGTGTCGATTTTTGGAGGACTGCATCGAGGTTACCAATATCTCAGCTATTATTTCATTATTTTATTTTATAAATAGAGATTGGCGATTTGCAGTTTCCTGCCCACGATCGCATTTGATTTCATCATTAAGTAGCACTTTAGGGTTTGTAGTCGGGTGGTCTGTTTCCTGGAACCACCATAATGAGACGGTCGAATCGGATCGAGAAATCGTCCCTCTCTGTGAAAGAAAGTTGCACGTAATGAAAATCCGGAAAAGAAGCCGCCAAGGGAGGAAATCAGCCGTTCAGTAAATAAACCAAAAGTGCAATGCCCTTCGGTGCAGAATATAGTGAGAATCGTGGGGATCGCACCATCAAAAGCGAGGAAAGAATCATTTGAATCGACAGCCTCGATATGAGGCATTGAAAAGCAGTCTGCCATCGAGAAGCGGTCTGCCATCGAGAAGCGATTCGTATTCGGACCCCATTTTTTGCTTCTGTCACTCTGATGAGAAGAGCTTGTAGTGATAGGAAATCGGAAATTCATGGCCGTCGTGATCAGTCAGATGAAAGAACTGAAGACGTTATCCTCTGACCTCATCGGGTTCAGACGAGGCCTTCTGTGCCGTCGGGAAATCAGGAATACGAAAGAAGTAATTATCCTCCCGCTGAATGTTTGGAAGAGCTTACAAAAGCAGATAATGACTTCCGAGAAATTCATTTTTATCTTCAACTCCATCCTCGTTCTCATTATTTTCGAGCATGATCGCAAGACAGATGTATTCCCGAAGGTGACCCCTCTAAAGAATGAGTTGCACGTGTCATAGGTTCCTCGTTGCTTCATTTAAATAGCTCATGCTTTAAAATACTGGTTTATGTGTCTAAATATGGATCCAAATTGGCAGCCTCGTAGGAAGATGATACATTTAGATCAGGTTTGAATGAGAATGAATTCCGAGAAGTTTTAGAGAGGAAATTGAGGGCCGAATTCGGGAATTGTACACCTTCTCGACCATTACACGACCGAAGCATAATCACGGGTATTAATTTTTCAGAGAGTCTCTCATCGTCTGAATTTCCGTTCGTTTGTGCCCCTGGTGTTACCACTCTCATCGAGGTCTAGGCTTTGGCTAAGTTCATTTTGCTTCCCCCATCGGATGGCAAACTTTCTGCTTCCATCGATGAGAGGAAAGGGGAGGGAATGGGTCATTGCCCTGGAGATCGATTTCGTAGATCCTTGTTGATGGTTTACGGGTGTTGGCCTCTTTTCAGAAAGTGGAGAAGGCATCGACAGTGATGCTGGACCGATGGAGCATTCAAGTGAGCGAAGCGGCCAGGGAACCCGGGGACTCCATACCCTACAACATCATTAATAATTACTTCTCCATCGGGGTGGTAAGGCCCAATTTTTGTTCTTTTTTCTTATTCCTCTCTGCCGTCATTAAACGAGGATCAACATGGGGAAAGAGCTAGGGAGAAGGAACTGTCTCTCAGCCTCTCTTGGGTCAACAGGTCTCTCTCTGGCAGAAATTCAATTACCAGACCCCCAAGTTCTACCTCCCCTTCCATCTTCTCCTTCCTTTCTGTTGCTGCCTTCCAGGAATTCCTCCTATCATTTTCATCATGGAGAGACCCTGCAGAGGAAGAAAAAAAGCTGCATCAGGAAAAAAAAGTTTATTTTTAAGCGAATGAAGGATGGAGAAGGCATTAGAGGACATTTCCAGACGTGAAATCCCATATAAGAACTTGGGCTTCTTGCGAGGGAAGGGAGGAAATTATTTCTAGCCCCTAATGAGGCCGTGAGAGCTTGTAGTGGATCTGGATGCAGAGGGGTGATATATTAACTCTTTTTTTTCCGGGACTTAGGACGCGGCGATCTGCGTGAAATTCCACCTGGAACGAGAGCGAAACCCAGAGAAGTTCAACTCTCGGATGAAGAACAAACTGTGGTATTTCGAATTCGCCACGTCGGAGACGTTCGCGGCCTCGTGCAAGAACCTCCACGAGGACATCGACATAATGGTAAGGAAGGAAGCATCTCCCGGTGCGAAGGATCCACAGGGCGCGATTGAAGCGTGATCCACCCGTACAGTGCGATGGGGTGTCGCTGGACCTGGCGAGCGGGCCGTCGTTGCAGGGGATCGCTCTCCTCAACATTCCCTATAGCCACGGTGGGAGCAACCTGTGGGGGGAATCGCACACGAAGAAGAAAATCAATGGATCCACGACGACGTCCGGTTCCAGTGCAAGAAAACGGGGGAAGAAGAAAGGGATAGGACTGTCCATCTCTCAACGGGATTTCTCCACTACCTCCATTGCCTCCTCCGTCGATCTCACTACTGCCTTCCAAGGTCTCTCTCGCTCTCTCTCTCTCTCTCTCTCTTTTCATTCTCCTTCCCTTCATAACATCAGGGTTTTTTTTAATGTACTCAACATGAAAGGAAATGCGACGCAGATGGATTCTGGTGGCGTCGTAATCCAAAGCATCTATCTATGCAGGGTGATGAGAGTAAAGTAGACTCCCCTGAAAGGAATGAACTTCCTCATATTTTAATTAACATACCCACAAAACATGTGCCGGTGCTTCTCGTAGCAGGTCATGCGTATACGAACAACTGATTAACGCTAAAAAAAATTCTCAATGTTCTTCTCATTCTGAACATTCAGGCTTGGTTTTCGTACGATACGTGTCTATTTTACTCTGGTCTCCCTGTGTATATGGGATGCAACTTATGGGCCTCCATAAGTAGAGAGGAAAGGAATGTGCGTAATAACATTCTTCTTCGTTGCTCATCTCGAGAAAGAATCTCATAGGCCTCCTCGGTCCTTGCTCAAACATAAAGCGTAATCACGTACGTATCGATGCTTGCAGCTTGTCCCGTTTTCAGAGGCCTGTCTGAAAATTTTGAGGACCCTATTTAAAGAAATCCGTTTATTACGGCAAAAAAGACCACTGAATGCATCTAGACATCTGACGTGGTGAAGGCATTTCATTTTTATTCTTTTGTGCTCAAATGCTGATATGTTCCTGATCCCTTTACGGCAACTGCGATTGTAGACGTTCCACTACTTTGGTGGGAGTTCAGGTAAATGTGCTCTGTATTTTCCCGTCGGTCAAAGCGTTAGGATGATTGTACAAGACCAAATCCCTTTTCAGATTCTGTGTAATAATATAATTAACTATAAATTGCACAATTGCGAGTCAAAGTTTATTTATTTATTTCATACAGAGTCCTGTTCTTGTTAATTTAACCAGCCAGAGTATTTGAATACAAACACTCACAGTCACTGTTAAGCAGTCCGTACCAGTACGCATCGAAGTACTGAAAGTTAAAAATGAAGGGCCTACACAATGCTAACGCGTCTAGATGCATTCTGCAGTCTTTTTTTTCGTCGTAATTCCCAAATTAGATTTAATACTTTAAATTGGGTGCTCAAATTACTCTGGCAGGGCTATGTGTAACTTCCCTTCGTCTAAGTACCAGGGAATTCTTTCCATTTAGGTGAGAAGAAAGGCTTCTGTTCTGCGCCAAATTAGGTTTATGGTTGCCAGCATTACTTTCCCCATCCCTTTCCCTTTCTCTTTCCCCTTCCCCTTCCCCTTCCCTTTCCCTTTCCCCTTCCCCTTCCCCTTTCGCCGTCTTTAGCTTCCGTTTGTATCTTCCCTTTATTTTTGATTTTTGGAGAATTCTTTGAGTCCGCTCAGTGAGTTCTGCCACGCGCCTTGAAACCCGTTAAGCACCATGCAATATCGCTACGGCGTCCTACCGAGGAGGTGCCTTAAGTGAAGATTTCGTGTCTGTGACATGCGTTCGGGCGTGCAGACATCGGGGATCGCTTGATCGAGGTGATCGGACTGGAGAACTGTCTTCACATCGGTCAGGTGAGGTCAGGTCTTCGGGCGTCCGGAAGAAGACTTGCCCAATGCTCCTCGGTCGTCATCCGCACGCGCAAGAGATTCCCCATGCAGATCGACGGGGAGCCCTGGATGCAGCCTCCGTGCACCGTGAGTCCTTACATTTATTATTTAACCATTAATTCCGACCTCGTGTAAATTAGTTGGTCGTTGGGGCTTCGGTGGGCCTTCGAGAGAGAGAGAGAGAAATTTATACCTGGTGTTTGCCTCCGCGAGAAAATTTGTCGCTTCTTGGTTAGATTGCAGCGATTCGTTGAGTGTTGGGTGGACGAAGGAGAAAAAAAAAGATGAAATACTTTCTGTATTGTTTTTCTTTCTCCTCTTCTATGCGGCTGAAATAATGTCCTCTAATCCTCGTGAATTCTCTTCTTCACGGAATTATCGATTGTTTTGTACGAATTAAGATGTGCTCTGGAAGATGGGGAAGAGGTTCCTCGTGTTAAACTTTAAATTTCCATTCTAACGAAGAAACAACACTGAAATCATCGAAATTCTGCTGCTAAAATGACGACTTATCGGCGAGAATGAGAATAGAATGCATTTCCCTTTTTTTCTAATTCGTAGCAGCAAGTTGAAATCATTCTGTTTCCTGCTGCGTTTTTCATCACGCGAATGCTAAAAGGGGAATCGTCCGAGACTGCTCAAAGCAAGTTCAAATGGGATTCCCCATGGGAGATTCTTGTGGCACGGTTTCAAAAGTCTTTCACCCCCTTTTTTAATCCTTTTTTTTGCATTCCCGCCAAATAATGACTTGGAAAACTGGGCGGACTTTTTCTTTCCGCGACTTCGGGTGCAAGGGCGAAATTGCGAGCCGAAAATATTGCGAATTTGGTGGCTCACGCCACGTATTTAGCGAATGAGTGCGAAATCTTATCTGTTCTAATTTCGATGATGTTGCCTTGAGAAAGTAGGGAAAATAATATTTTGAGGAAAAGAGAGCGGACAAAGTTTTCACTTTAATTTTACGGAGAAATCTTTCAAATTTTGTATTTTTATATTTTTAAGTCTCACGTACGACGTAGAACCCATTTAGCACCTGGATGATGTGGCGATTTAAAATTTTTTTTTTTTTCAGATCCAAATCACCCACAAGAACCAAGTGCCGATGCTGATGGCCCCAGCCACGACCAAGAAACCGGGTCTTCTCTCCTTCTTGAAAAAGTGATTTTTTTCTCTCGCTCGTTGCTCGTTTGCCGTTCTCGACTTCCGTGTGCCACGCCTCCGAAGTGAACTGTTTCGCGTGCACAGTGAGCCGTTTCACGTGCAGAGTGAACTGTTTCACTTTGTTCCATCCCTTTTTCTCGATATCGCTCTTCGTCCTCTAGGAAATCCGAGACGGTTTCCTTCTCTGATAGATGCGTCTCATCCGTTTTCGCCCCGATGGGTTCCCCGCCCCCCCCGCCGGATGTATTTTACAGGTCTTAACTAATTTTTGCTATTTATGGAATCTGAATAAGGGACGAGAGAGAAAGAGCGGGGGGCGATTTTCCGACGATTTCCCATGGAGTTAGAGATTACCTTCGTCAGACGATTCCAGCTGTTTTTGATGCGTCTAATGAACTCAGTTATCGTTAGCGCGCAATTCAGAACCAGGATACCTTACACGACTCTGAAAAAAAAAAATCAAGCATGATATGAACGCGACTGTCTGGAAAAGACGTCTAAGACCTTTTCGCGATATTGCACGCCTCGGGATGAAGCCGATTCGGAGCCGATTCGTTAACCGATAGGCGATCGCTTGGAGATGCCGTGAGTCTCGAGGGTGGATCTCGCCGTCTCGACTCCCATTTCCGTCGGTTCAAAGATGAATCGATTTTTTACGTGCATTCGTCCATCCATGCGCGAGGCATCGACAGGAGGTCATCGGATCCCGTCTCGGTGTGACGCCTGCACGGCATGCGTCGTCTTCGTCGCACGCGAAAGGTCGAGAACCTTTGCCCTTTCCTTCCGCCTCCGTAAGTCTTCATCGGCCTCGGATTTCTTTTCGCGGAGAGAAAGCGAACCCGAGACTCCGTCCGTTTTCGGGTCGAGGCGAATGGTATATCTGCCTTTAATTGCCTGCGGAGAGTCGCCCCCGTGCGCGTTCCGTCCCGATGTAGGTCAGAGATTAAAATCGCAATTTGAGATTCCTGTCGATCGAAGGGCGGGGGCGAGATTCCATCGGGGCGAAGGCGGTTGGAATCCGTAGATGTCCCATCATCACGTCCGGAGGTAATGCTTTTTACCTCCCCTATATATTATTATTACGATAATTATTATATTATTGCTATTATAATTATTATGAAGTATATTCCAAGAATATTGTTGGTATCACACACGGGATTCCTGTTGTGAGGATGACGATGCTACTTCGCAAAGTTGCTATTTTCTCATTTTTTCCTATTCTTGAATGTTGTTGGCTGCTGAATATTGTTAATATCGTGCGCTCCCGTTTCGTATGATGCCTCACGTCATATCAAGCTTTTTCCTCGGCTGCGAAGCTGTTCTTTCACACGACGACCAAAGACGATTGTGTCCATTCCCTCGATTTTTCCTCTTCCGCTTCTTCCTTTTTTCCCATTTTTCCCTACAGTACACGTCTCTCGGATCTCAGTTTTTTTATTTTCCTAAAAACTCCTCTGCGTTATTTCTCCTTTTATTTATTTGTCTTTGACGACTTTCATCGTTCGGTTTCCCTTATTCCCTCGGAAGGTCTTTTTCAAAGTGAAAATGAAGTAATATGAAAGCTGATTCTCCGTGTTTTTCTTTCTTCGCCCCCCCCCCCCCTCCTATCGATCACCTCCACTGCCTCTTTGACATTTCCATTTTGAAAAAAACATGAAGACGACACAGAATGCACCTGAACCCAGTCCTTCACGGCTACAAAGTGAACCCGATGTCAGCGAATGAGATTTCTCCATTGAAAAGAGAGAGATTGAGATTTTGTCACAGACGCGCCGGGCCTCATAAGAATGAGATTCACGAACGCTGACCGAACGTGAGTCCAGACCTGACTCCTTCGCGATTTTTTATCCCGCTAACGAAGAAATGTGTGCTCAAGTACAGACCCATTGTTGTTCCCGCACCGGGCGACCAATTAGCCGTTAGTTTGCGTGCTTCACGAGCACGGCCATAACCGGTGGACTTAATTTCCTTTCGGGCGATCGATGGACGGGCCCCGGCGGTTGCGTTATGTCGGATTCCTGGAAGCTTTTACGACCGAGCGAAGAAGTTGCACGCCTTCCGGAGCTTCCTCTCTCAATTTTGAAGGCTCTTTGTCATCATTTCCTCTCGAATGCCTTTGCAAACGTGTTCCACGTGCCCCATTGCGATTCCCATAAAGTCGCAAGCACCGTGGTAAGAGACTTGGAAATTGAGCCTTACGGTTATGAGCTCATTGCTTTTTCCTTCGGGAAGTTGATCGTAGAAAATCTGAAGAAATAGGAATTGCAAATTGCAAAAATAGGCAAAGCAGAAATCACTGCACAAATCCCCTCGGTCGTACTGCTGATCAGAGGAGATAAAAAAAAATGCTTGGAATTACACGAAGGATCGCGCAAATTCTCTCCGCTCCGAATTTTCTCGCCTGTCTGGCGGTTCATTGTGTAAAAAGTTTTCCGAATCTTGTCAGGGGGGAGAGGGAAGACGATGGCGTCATCGCACTCATCGATGACGTCAAGAGGAAGCCCCGCCCCATCATTTTCCTCGTCGTTCGTCGGGACGGGACGACGGGTCCTTTTCGCGTTCGGGAGGAAGGGAGGGGGCAGATAGGGGGGAATGAGGAGTGGAAGGAGGGGGGAGGGGAGGGGAAGGGAGGGGGCAGATAGGGGGGAATGAGGAGTGGAAGGAGGGGGAGGGGAGGGGAAGGGAGGGGAAAGGAATCATGCGATGGATCTCTATGGATTCCTGCTATTTATGTCGTAGGGATGTTTTCATTCTGTCGTTTCATCAAGCTTTGAAGAGCCTGAACGTATGACTTTCAATTATAGACGCGTTGTCGAGCCGAACGTGGGCGGAAACGAGGGAAACCTCTCCACCCCTCCAACCTTCACTTGTGCAGTGTGTTGGGCGGATCGAGTCTTGATTTTCGCAGGGATTTGGCCTGCGTTTTGCAACGTGAGAGGAGTCGTCATGGGCGCTTTTTTTTTTTCATGCTCTCCTGCGATTTTGCGAAATCTGGTTTCTCGTCTTCCAACTCAGAAGTCTGCCGAGATGGCATTTCGTCTGCGACCTGGGTCTTTTTTCCTCGTTCCAAATCCTTTTATGGACGTTCCGATCTCTCGGCCGACCGGAAATTCCGCCGACTCGTTTTCTGCGGCGAGTATTAGGAAAGAATCTGGAGTTCCCGTTCTAGTCTTCATTCCGCAGTCTATCACTTCGGGTCATCTGAATTTCATAAACATACCTGAAATGTTGAAAGTAGAATCTCGATATTTGGAAGTAGTTGCCGTTACCCTGTCTCAGAAAATGGGGGTTTTATCCTCATCCGGTTCATTCTCATCCGGTTCGTCCTCATCCAGCTCATCCTCACCCGCTTCATCCTCGCCCGGTTTCCCTCGGTAAAATCCGACATTAAAGTTGGACGACATTAGAACTGAAATCTGTTCAATGGACCATCGTTTCAACGTCTTTTTTTTTTTTTTTACATACGCACGGCCGGAAAGTACGGTGAGATCATCTCAAAGTTTCAACCATGCGTCATCAAATAAAGGATTGACGTCGTGCGAAACCGAGAAGAAGTTGCCTCATCGGCACAAGCCATCTGACGCACATCCGCAGTACGTCATCCGCATGCGAGGATGTACCGTGGACGTACTTCGGATGTCTCGTGGTACTGGGCCGTGAGATCCGTGGGATCCACGAGCCAATTTTCCCCGGAGCTCAATTCCCGTACAGAATGCGATCGGCTTCCAGATATGGCTCACCGCTGCAGTTCGATGCCCATAAAGATCTTGAAATCGCGCCAAATTCTACTTTAATGCAATGGATCATTGGAATGGAAGCGACGGAAGCAGATTTAGGCATTCGAGACCAGCTCGAGCCTGGCACGGGCCTGGCACAGCCCTGGCACGAGCCTGGCACGAGCCTCGCGTTGGTCTTCTCGAATGCATTCATCCGACTCGACGGGTGGGGGAAGGCCTCCATCGGCGATGCACGAGAGACTTTCCCGTTCGCACAATCCTATCTGGTTCCGAATCATTTCCAATTCCAAGTGATATTCAAGGGCGAAGACTCCTATTTACGATCGGGCGACAAAGGCCCTTCCCCCTCCCCCCCTCCATGGAACTGAAGAATAAACGAGAAAAACCGAATGTTGCCGTTTTTTTCTGTGAAACTTCCACGGTAAAAAACGTTTATCTGCCTTTTTTCATTGCTAATCATCACGGACTCTACAGGAAAACATCCACTGTTCTGTCTACTTAGCGTCGATGCAAAAATTGGCAGAGAAATCCTTTACTGATGAGTATGAGACAATTTTTCTCACCGTCATACGCACCTGTCCGTAATCGCCCGCCAGAGACAAACCTGTCACGGGTTAACCACCGTGGGTTAAAGGGTAGACCGTGGGTTAAATCACAGCTTGTCGCCTTGACACTACATGTCACTCGTCGCCGTCTGATATATATCTCCTTTTATTCCCCCCTTTCTTCCCCTTGGTGAAGGGGGAGAGAGAATCGAAGCCAATTCCTCGATCCGAGACAATATAAGACACGGAAATTGCCTTGCAGTATCTGAGGGCAAAACAGCCGGGCAGTTAGCGCAAGCGCATAGACTAAAAAAAATTTAGCACACTTGCCAGGATCTACCGGTGTCTAACGAGGGGTCTATTACGAAATGCCGAAAACAATAATGCCGACAGTCTAACATGACGAATGCGCGGAATAGCGAAGGATAAAAATGTTGAACTGCCTAAATGTCGAATCCCTCAGTTCGTCGAACGTTTAATGCACTGATGGTAACACTATCTCGAAAAAAAAAAAGCGGAAAATGCGGAAAACCCAGACAGGTAGGTGAATGCGAAGTCGAGATCGTCAGACGGGGAAGATTCGTATCAGACTGAGATTTCATCATGCACCGACGGCGAGACCTGTTTTCTTGCCTCTTGCGTGGCGTGGCATGTGGTCTTGCGATTGGAATGGAGTTCGTGACGTCCCCAAAGCGATGGGGACGGTTACATGTTGGAAATGTGCAGACGTTGTGAGAGAAATGACAGAAAGAACTCCCCTCCGCAAAAAAAAAGATCGTTCATCCAGGTCGTTTCTTTTTTTTTCCTTGATCTCCCCCAACTTGCAACTTCTTTTTTTTTATTATCTCATAGTTTATGACATGTGATGACTATTTTTTTTGGAAAGTACTGGAATTCGGCGAACTGAGATTCGGCATTTCGTCGTACACCGCTTCCGAGTCCGGTCCAGAACTTCTGGAGTAGAAATTCTGGTTCGGGGATCGGATTCTTCTTCTGGTGCCAGAATTTGTCTTTGAAATGATGGAAGAAACGAGAAGGCTAATGTGGATAAAAGCGGTCAAAAGAGGTAGGACCGGACTCGCCCCTCTCGGGTACCGAGTGACAACAGAAAGTACTGAAAACTCAAATTTTTCCCGAATCGAAAGGGAAATTTGTAAACAAGGACTTTCGCAAAGTACTTTCCTTCTCGTCTCCTTTGTTCCTAGTACTCGCATCACCGAAAAGTACTTTCTTTGCAGTGCCGAACCGAACCGGACGAGTCCGTGAAGCCCTCCGCACTTTCGTGCCCGCGAGACGGCGCGTGACAAGCTGGCACGAGGGCAACCGACTGAGAAGGCAGAAGGCCTTCGGGGGGGAGACAGATGAGGAATCGAGTGGGATCACGGCACTCGAACCGAACCGAAGAAACAGCGTTTCCAGGAATGGGAATCGTTCGTGAAGTTCATGCGTCATACGAGAATAGATTTAAGCGAATAACTGAAGGAGAGAGACGCCAGAGACAAACTGTCCTACGAGGATGGACAATGCAGAGAACGGGATCCAAGTCCATCTTCATTTCTAAATCCTTCTCTTCCCTTCTCGTCCCTTCTCTTCCCTTCTCGTCCCTTCTCGTCCCTTCTCTTCCCTTCTCTTCCCTTCTCGTCTCTTCTCGTCCCTTCTCTTCCCCCCTGTTAGAGACGCATTCGAGAATACGGAATGAGATTGCGAGGATATCATGAAGATGATCCCCTCGAATAGGTTTAAATGAAGGCCTTCAAGACTATTCCCACTCCTTCCACTTGCATATTAATGGGGATGAGGAGGGATGAGGAGGGACGAGGAGGAAGTGCGAGCGGGGATCTGCTTTTCCGTCCCGAGGGGAAAGGAACCTTTCGCCTTCTTTCAAATATTCAGTGATGCGTGTTTGCAGGTGATTCTCGCCTGCGATTTGCGTCTTCTTAACTTTCGGTTCCACGCGATTCTCAGCGTCCGGTCGAAAGGCCTTGCCTCTAAATGGGTCTTCTCTCTTCTCTCTTCTCTCTCTCTAAATGAGTCTTCTCTCCATCGGTCCCCTTGGATCTCTTTGTGAGAATAATCGATATCGATTCAGTTCGGTGCAGAAGGAACTCAATTCCAAAACGACACCGACCGACCGAAAGCGATTCGGAGAAACGAGGCACCGATGGACTCGCCTCGAAGCAGGGGGGGGGGGTCTTTTCAGGGTCTCAGCAGGTGAAAGTATCGAAAAGTACGTGTTACCCAAAACGCGCTGAACAACAGAATTTTATGGAATCGAAGTCACTAATTGAGGTACCAGGTTTTAAATACTTGACCAAGAGGGTTAGATACCGAACTATTCCCATAACTACAAAAAATTGCAGCTATGAATCGAGGCACTTGGTATGAGAAATAATTCTTTATATGAACATCTCACTGAATCGCTGGGGACGATGAGACGATGCAGATTGTATCCTTGGAGTCAACAGCTCAACAGCTGGAAAATTCGAGCGGCAGCATCATTACTATCTTTAAAATGATTCCGAAAAGATGACTTTTAGTCCGCAGGACAAGTCAGAGCGCGGCACCCGAGGCAGCCGTCCGTTCCATCCGACGCACGACGCGAACGACATCTGCATTGCGATCGAGGAACTCAAAGGGGGAAGAAAGAGACATCTAGCAGGCCGTTTTTAATCCTGCTAGCACTCGATGGATGTCATGCGGGAAAGCAGTCGAAGAGCATAAAACATTGTTAATATTTTCTTTCTCTTGTATTGTAAATTATTTGTTTTCCGTGATGAGCCTTCTCGACGAGGCGCAGGCTCACATTGTCGCATCCGTGGTTTCCGGTTTCTGACTTCTACAGTACATCTCCCGGAACAGGAGTCGATGATGCGTGACGGAATAGCCTTGAGTATCTGACCTTGATGGACTGCCATGAGCTACCGAAAGGCACGAAGGGCGAATTTCTTTTGCTCTCTGCAGCGGCTCTGCTAGGATGAGGGCGCATGCGTTTCCTAACGGCTTTTCTCATTCGTGGACGCATGCGTCTCGACGCTTCTGGATTGCTGCTGCTTCTCCCAGTAGGACAAAGAAATACGATCGTAATTGGCTATCTCGTCTCATGCTTCGTCCTTTCACTGCGATGATTCCCGATGAGGCTTGCACCCAGTCCATCATTTTCAATGGGGCTCTCGACAGAGAACGCGAAGACATTCTCCCGCAATGCGATGCATGATGCTTCGTGCATGGCCAGTTTCGGCTGTGTTGCCACGTAGACCTCGATTCATCGTCGCCAGGTCGTACTAGGGCAGGTACAATAGCAGCGCCGCGTTGGTAGAAGGCGGTGGGTAAATTCAATCCAAAGGCACCGTAGGAAAAAAAGGTTCATTGATTGATGGGCAATGAGCAATCGGTGAGACATCTGGCGGCCGCTCCCTTCCCTGTTTCGGGGGGGGGGGGAGTCGTTGGACCCGGGCGGTTAGTGACCACGGGGACGCGATGGTGCCATATTGGATCCAGTCTGGGATGTCGGCTTCTCTCGGCTTCCCTGTCAGATGCCAGGCTGTTCTGCGCCGAATTGCACCAATAGAACAGAGACCGGATACCGATTGTTCAGATTCCCCGCGGATGCAGGAAGACGGACTCGCTGGGCATTGAATTGCTTGTGGGAACACGCCGGACATAGTGAATGGGACCCGCCCGACTCGGCACGTTTATGCGAGGTGAGGCAGGGTCATCGCCCCTCCCCTTATCTGTAGGTTACCCACGTTAGTCTTATCATATCCGTCGAGAAGTTTTTGCGTCCACTTTGCGACCCTGGCCTAGCCGAAAGAAAAGTCAGGCGTTATCTCAGAAAAATAGGCATGGCTTTGTACTCGGCATGACGAGCCGTAGGATTTTCAACGGAATCGTCTGTAGGGGGTTACGTAGCCATCAGAAGAGGCTTTTGTAGGCCTCACGAAATGGTCTGTAAACCAGTCGTTATAGGTGTGCTTATGCGTAGCTTCCTTTTAACAAATGATGGATGCTGGATTACTCGGCGAAGCGTGACGTAGGCTTTGTCCAAGGCTAGGCCTAACGACGAGCGTTGCGAGCTGCGATAAGCCTGACGTAAATTTGGAATGACCTCTCACATTTTAGAACTGACTGTGTATGGTTGCGTTTTCAAGTTGACGTAACGTACATTAGTAGATGTTATGCTATAATGGCCCTGCTAAGTTAATTTGACAGTTTATCTGAATTCGTTATATGAAAGGCAAAGGCCCAGGCTTCAACAAGACCTTGACAAGGCCTTTAGAGGTTTGGCCAGTTACCACACTCACAGGAGCATCAGGGCATTCCTGAAGCTGGCATCCAAACCCACATGACTTTTGGCCTGGTTAGCTGTGAATCCCATGTGACCAACTGCCTGCCAATTAGTGACTCTTTCACTGTAATGTGCCAAAACATAGTTCTGGCCTATGTGAGGAACAGCATCTTGCAGTGCCAACAGCTGTTTTAGTTTTGCTAGAAAAGAATCAATCTTCCCTCTTCCATCTGATCCCACTGGGAAAAATATGTGGAATGGGAGGGCTGGAAGGAAAAGGACAGCTTCTGAATTTGCAAGGTGACTTCCAGTAGGCTGGTCTTATTGATCTTTCATGAAATAGCCAAGGCCTAGATTACAGATTTCTTCAATTGACTTTAACAAATTTTCAGTTGACACCACTGATACCCATGCAGTGCAAGTGGTGAGAGTCAGAGTTTAACCAATCTGAATAATTTGGATTTTAAAAATATCATTCAAAGTGAGTATATATTTCAAATTTTTCCCTGCTCCAAAGGTTTACAGAAAAGAAAGCCTGGGCCTAAAGAGGAAAAACGATGCAAACACTTTGAAATAGATTAAATCAAGGATCCAAGTTGCCAATAGGTGATTGCTGATTAAAATGGACTATCTCCATCCTGACATTACCATTATATATTATCTTTTTTACCCTGTTGTGGGTCACCCTCACTGTTTTACCAAGCTAGGCTGATGTTGCACCCACCCACAGCCTGAGGTTTTCTGGACCTTTGAATTGACCTAGATTCCATATTCCATGTGTCCATACATCATCCAGTTTTCCATCTTCAATGCCAACCTTCAATACACCTAGTTACATTGTAGGTGTATCTTTATTAAATTATTTTTAAAATTAATTAATTAATAAAATTATGAAATTTAATTAGTTCAGCTAGTACTCATATCCCTACTTTATGTCATATTTTTCCCAGCATTCCTGCACCACTTTCCATTATCAAGCTAGCAAAAAACAGGAAAAATTGGCTGGGAAAGAAATGTATTAGCTGAAATAAATGCAAAAGATGACACCATTTTTTAAGTGCCTGAGGAAATACAGCAGCTTCAAATTACTGTGGGCTGCTGTCAACTTGACAACATGAGGTGAACTACTATAAACTGGGACTCAGAATCCCACCATGGTCTCAAGTTCATGCATTCCTGTGTAACCCTATAACAAATGCGAAGAAAGTGCAGGACTCCTGAGTCCCGCCTGGCCTGAAAGGGTTGTAGGTCTACCAAGCAAATTGAAGGTATATGCAATGTGGTGTAATGCATGTGCAGGAAATAGTGTTTGCTCTGGCGGTTTCTTCTACACCTGTATGAAAATTTAAAATTGTGTCTAATGTCTAATCTTTTTCCAAACTTTTTTTTGAGGAGTTGATTGGCTTAACTGGTTAAATATGGCTAATTTTCTGAAGAGGAGTAAGTGAATGTCCCTCTCAATATTGCTGCACCTGCTTGGTAACTTCTTTCTGGAAGGCAGACCCACCATAGACTTCTTCAAATTGCTTTTGAATGCTGACAGCATTATTGCATTAATGGGTAAGATAAATGTATTGATAGTCCTTCCTTTCTTTTTCTTTTAAAGAGTTAGCCATTTAATCCATCCATCAACTATATGAAGTCTGAAAAATTTTTGATGTAATGACATCAGATATGAAACTGGAATTTCACTCAAGTGTAGAAGAAACATGGCTATTGTACTGGCTATATGTGCCTCAGTGAAAAGAATTTCAATACTGTGAAAGTTGAATCTATGCTCTGTTTTTCAATTGAGCACTGAGCCTGAAAGCAGTTTTCTCCATATATTTCACCCATAAATGATTAAATTAATGATGCACTTGTTCAGAAGCAGGGGAAACACCAAAATGTTATCCACCCAGTGGTAACAAGTGACAAGTAATCAGTTGTCTAATTACAACTGATATTGTCATGAAAAATTGTAAATAGAGATTGTTTTGCATATTAGATGAGATTATGGATGCTTTTATGCTTTAAAGAGCCTGTAAAAATGGGCTGTATATAATTTATGATGTAGTGCCACAAGAAAAATACATGAACTGCTCTCCTTTGACACCCCTAACTAAGTCAAATGGTAGTCGAATCAGTAGAGCTATATTGCTTAAAGAATTCAATTTTTGTTTTGGCAGAATGGATAAGCCTCAGTGAATTATGGGACTGAACCTAAAAAAAAGTGGACTAGTTCAATTCTTGTCCTCATTACTTCTACCAGATGTATGGACAGATGTGATGATAGAAGTAATTTATGTAGGAGAATCTTAATGCTCTTCGAGCTTTTTTTCCTTGCTTTTGTAGTACTTGACTTGCCAATGACACCAACAATGGGGAGATGATGCCAACTCTTCTCTCTATGGGTAGGGACTCCAATGCTATACTATGATGAGGAAGGTACTGGCTTTATGCAATGCTAGACCCAGTGGTGGATCCTGAAATTTTTTATTGGAGGGCAGTTCTGCAGTTCCTTAGTTCTTACTAATCCCTCCCCCCGCCCACCTACCACCACTCCCTGTCCTATTACCTTTTTCATTTTTCGTCTGAGGTAAAAACTTAGCTATTTCACAGGCCCCAATAAAAATTAATGTAGAGGCTTTTTAAATAAATAGAAAATTGAGTGTGAACCTGGCCCCCCCCCCCCCTTTGGATCTGCCATTGGCTAGACCTATCCATAGCATTTTGTGTTATTACCTGTGTGCTGGCATCTCATACATGACTTCCAATCTTTTTCTTTCTGGTTTTGGTCTATTTCGGTATGAGTACAAAAAAACTTTCTGCACGCCTCAACGGAAAAAATGTTGGGTACAGATGGAATGAAGTTACTTATGAGAGACCCCATATGAACGTACAGTTTAGTTGTAAATATGAAACAGATGAGCGAGGGATAAAGACCAAGTTAGGAGAATTCCATTCGGCACAACAATGTTGTATCAACATTGACAAACGTATGAAATGTTGAGACATGGTTGAAGTTGAGAATTCAGCGAAGAATCAGCATCAATGAAATGCCGGCTATTCGTAATTAACCGAATTTTCTGCGTATAGAGACTGCTCATGGATTAGCGAAGTTGTTGAAAAGCTATTAAGTGCAAATTCGTTTTTCACATTTGTCTTCATAGTCTCAATGTTGTTTCAATGTGGAATTATCAACATTATCTCAACAGAAAATAGATTCTACCAATCGATGCGAGTTGGCGCCTAACCGCTGGTGCCATGATTCTCACCCTGGTGCCATTGAAATAAGTCCCCTGTATTTTTCATACAGTACCCGATCTTTTCCCATGTACAACTTAAGGGAAGGCTTTGGAATATCTAGGTAGACCCATTGAAGGAGGTAACCCGGCAGAAGGAGACTGGGTAATTCTGACCAGGGGGTCCGAGGAGACATGCCGAATTTTCCTGACTCACTACATGGCGCATGTATTGGCTTAGGCTCTTATATACAAGGTATCTCGTTTGAGAATGACAGAGCGTGTTCACCGGCCTGTTGTAAGGGTGTGTGGCTCTTCTCCTGCATGGGAGATAAATCATGTGATTATGCCAGACACGTTACTCCTCTGTTGGGACAGAATGAGCTATGCCATGCAAGTAGTTAACTCGTATTCCGATCTATTGAAGGAATTTATAACCTCAGATGGACCTATTCGTTGGATGGTGGTACTCACTGGAGTACTTTCACGCTCTAATCGATATTAACGTACGTTTAGCTCAGGGAAGGGAGGAGGTAATGCCTAAACGTTGACAATTCAACGGTGGCACAACGTGGTGCATGAGCATATTTTCAACGTTGAACTGTGTTTAATCTCAACGTTGCGGCGTTCCTTTATTCGTTCGGTTTCCAAGATTTGGAATGCGACTTCGTTTTCGTGCTGAAGGGTTCAAGTTTGCACAATTTTCGTTTTTTGGGGAACTGTGTTCTCATTCGAGATTGAGCCAACGTTTATTTTTTGTTTTAAGCGACACATAATTGGAACCATTAGACAATGAACTCTTTACAATAATGGTGTACATTAAGGAAGGTGGTGCATGCTTGGCAAAAGCTCGACACCCAATTGCGGCTTCTCGGAACTCCCTTCAGCCCCTTTGGTCTTATGGGCATTCCCCAGGTTGCTCGAGTCCGTGGAATGATTTTTCAGGGGTTCTAGCTCCATATTTCCGCCACACGGCAGACGGAGTGGCTCATGTCATCCCGACGTTACGTTGTCATATCCCAGAAAGCACTTGGATTGCCTGTCGGGGTGGAAAGAGATCGCCGCTACCGCCATCCAAACCCCATCCCACGCTTTCAGGCTCTGAACCCGCTAGCACCGCTCGGCCAACAAGCACAGTTCCGACCCTTAGCGTTCGCGCCTCGAATTCCAGATTCCCAAAGGATCCAAAATCAGCTAGATTGATTGAGAAGGAGGAGAATGCATGGATGCATTCCATGGATGAATTCTTCTGTGAGAATCATCAGAAGGAAGAACCTGATAGAGGGGTGTACCATGACGGGATTCGACTAGCGACTGATTCTTGACATATCCATCGACTGGTGCCCGTGCGATTGCCACTTTTGTCTAATAAAGAAAGGAGAAAAGACGTTAAGAAGAAATCAGTTTTAATTTCAACTATGCGTTGTTTTCAAAATTTTCCACTTCAGGTAATGAATTATGGCAATGTTTGTGTGAAGAAGGCTGGAAACAGTGTTTTCTTTGAACGAAACTTGAAGTGTTGTGGGGTGCTTGATCCTATCATTTGACAACCTCTGTATAATGTATGTTATTTTTCTGAGAGAGGCTTGAGACTCGTAGGCTCACAATTTCTCGGAAAAGGAAGAGAATTCCGGCAACATACTCAATGCCAACATTTGATGCACGTCTCATCTGGAAAGACTGAATTATGCATATTGCGTGATGTATTGATGTTATGCCTGAAGGCACTTGGTCACTTTTCGTGGAATGCGGATCGAGGGGGGGGGGGGACGGGACCAGTTGTGGGCTATATTTGCGTGGGGTCATCTGTTTTCTTTCTCTGTTTTTATATTGGCGTCGGCAGGAGAAGCACGAAAACTTTAGCGATGGTGCAGGCACACAGACACCAGATTCCTGTGATTCCAAATCACTCCGTGAACGATATCGGAGTATATATCCATTATTTTCCCTATCAAGATTCTCGTCGTTCTTTGGAAATCGACTCAAATTTCCTCTTGGTACCTGCTCTGCTGAAATCAATCCTTCCACCCATTTCTTTTTTGATTCCTCATTTCCTTCCTTTTTCTTTCTTTCTTTTCCCTCGTTTTTTGTTTTCTGTTCTCTGTTCACCTTATTCCCTTCAGGTACCGTACAACTAATATGGACCCTTTATAAAGTGCTTTATATTCATATGGTTGCCGTTGCACCATTGTATCCGTAATTTAATACCGTTTTGAAAAGAAATCCTCTTCTCCGCGGACTCTGTGAGACTTCTCTGCGCTCATTTGAAGGGATGGAAATGAGGGATTCACATTTATCTATTCAGCGAGGTCGAATCAGGATCTACTGGAAAGTGGGACGACGTCGATCCAAGTGGTGAAGGACCTAATTGTCTTGAGGGATATGTCTTAAGACCATGATGACAAAACTTTTCTGCGATGTGAAACAACGAGTGAAGATTACTGTCGAGACTGATAGAGAATTAAATTTGAAGACGACATCATAAGGTTATTGAAGATCTGGGAATTGATTACTCAAACTCGGTGGGAGCCATTATAGCTTGCGAGTCTAATGGAAAACTGGAAGTGGAAATTCCCTCGAAGGAAGTCGCCAATTATGGTTATATTAACCCAGTAAATCCGTACGAGGAGCGTTCCATGCAATCAGTCGAATTCCTCTTAATTGGACACTAATGCGAACTTCCTCTGGCAGCTTCCAAGACATGTTTCGGAAGTGCGGCAAGAGGTCCATGCGCACGCCAAATTAGATGTAACTTCGCGATGGATTCTCCATAGAAGTTAGAATAGAATAGTATGCTTTATGAAGATGAATACCAAGCGTCGGGCAATCGTCGCATGCAGTTGTTGATTGAATTGGATGGTGAGAGCCGTCATCAGAGCTTAATTTCACATAGCGCGACAGACCTGCGCTTTACGTTTCGTCTGCGTAGGAGATTTAAACTCGGGTCCATGCGATCGTTGTAAGAAAAATGGGCTTTCGAATTTTATTTAAATTTGATATAATCAGAAGAAATCCCTGAAGACATATCCATGTACCCGTCGTAAATACGAACGAAGGTGACTTCATGTATCTCGACTACCTTGCATCTAATTTCGAACTCTGCCTATATATCAGTGCGTGTTCCTGGTTAGATAAGGAAAGATTGAAATGCATTAGACTGGATTAGGAGTCGATCCAGGCGAGGAGCTCGCGCACTCCACCGATAAATGACTGGGGAAGACGCGGAAGTAGAATATTAGAACTCCTGCGGTGTACAAATAAAGGGATCACGAGACGAACCCCATCGTATCGTCTTTCCTCATCCCCGTGAAATTCCAAGTCGGCCATAAGCAACTCGAAATCAATATTGAGTAGCTCAAGTTGGACCCAGAAAGTGAAGTGCAAATGGATGGGGCGAGAAGAAATATTCCTCACTACGGCTGATAGTCTTGCACTTCTTACTTCTACTTATTTAGAACTTTTATGCGGAAACTAGGTGAGAGGTGTCTTTTTATTACCAGTCTGTCTTGATACTACTGTTGTTCCATGCTAAAAAAAGGAAGGCAAGGGCTGGGAAAGTTTTTGATGTAGCCCCCAGATGGCATGAAAAAACTGTCGCCCCAATTCGTTGCGTGCAGCAGGAGTTGAGAGGCACGTCTTCGTCCAACGAAACTCGGATATTGAATTATATGTTGGGGACAGGAAACGGAAGAGCTTTTCAAATAAACTGCCAACTGCAATATTGGACTCAACACAGAGTGAAGTTCTCCAGCTCTTTTCTCTCGTACACACAGCGACTCATTCCAGCGTCCTCCCTTTCTTTTCGCTGGACGACATTGGCGTTTGACTCCGTCCAAACTTAAGGATAGAGGAAGAACAGCACTGACACGTCAGTGATATCTGAGATAGACCGTTGCTTGGGGCGCCTTGACAGCTCACTAGTTAAAGACTCACCAACAATCCATATTGATGGGTTCATCAACCCTTATCAATTCCTCTTCCCACTCCTCAACACACAAAGGGTAGGTTGGGATGGGGAATGTGGAATTTATCGACGGTTGGTGCGGTGAAGTCGTAGTTAAGGAACTGATTCTTTACTGTTTCTTGAATACATTCTAAGCCCTCAATACTAGAAGGGTTAATTTTGATTCATTTTCTCGGGATAACCTTAATGGCATTCTTTTTTTTTGCATCGAATAGCATTTATTTAATTTTTCTGCATTATGGCTACCTTATGAAATCGTATTTTGAGTTTCTTGGGAATGGAGCAGAGTTATTGTCATCAGTAGACCATTCGAATTCAATTGCTGCACGCCATAACGTTTTTTCTCCCCCAAGATTGCACTAATACTATAATAAAAGCGTGGTCTCAATTTTTTTTATTTAATTGAAGGTACACTTTGAAGATTCCCAATTTGAGAATCATCGAGCTGACGGTTGGAGGCCTCTGAGGCCTGATGCAGTTCCAACGCTCTTCAGTTTGCCCAATCCCTTCAAGAAAGTGAGAAAAAGAGTAAGAAAGGGATCGTCAAAAGCAGAGCCATCTTCAGTCAATAATGTAAGCAGGTTAATTCAGCATTTTTCTTTTGAAAGGCCATACAGGGTATGGAAAGAAAGATCAACAACTTTTAACCTCTCTGCCTCTCGGCTCTCACCGGAGCTATTTTCACGAAATTTACACTGTGCATGGAGTGCTATGTTCCCTACGGGCCATTTAAATTTCATCGAAATTGATTTTACCATAATTTGGCAATGAGCAATTATTCACAATGAATCAGAAATTGAACATTGACACGGTACGCCAATCTTGAATGCGTCATCCTCCTGCTTTCTTCTCTTATGTAAAGCAAGAAAAAATGTGAATAAACTCTGTTCTGGTACTTATTGATTCATCTGTCGTTGATTTGAATAAAGCTAATCAAAACCATCGGCAGGTAAAGGCCGTCCTAAAATGAATTTTGATGAATGAGAAAATCAGATTTGGCATGGAATATATGCAAGCAGAGCACTCGGGTGTGTCCTTCACTCAACTACTGGCATGAGTTCATTTTCATGATTAACTTCTTTTTAATTGTTGCGAATAGCCTCGTCTTGGAGTAATGAATTTGGGAGGAATTTTTAAAGTATACTGGAAACATATCCGTCTGCGCACAGTAAAAGTTTCGTGAAAATAGCTCCGGTGAGAGCAGAGATGTGCAGGTTAAAACTCGTTTGTCTTTTTGCTATACATATGATAACATTTTCCCGAAATCAATTTATTTTGTCGTAATATGTGTGTTACTCTAGGTAAAATCTTTATTGCAGCTTTCAGGAAATTGAATGAAGTTTTCCTTTCTCTGTATTTTTTTACAGATTGTGTACGGCCCATCGGCGTACAACAACGGTTAGTTCATCGCTATTCCATTTGCTATGCATGCTCTTCTACTGAAGGCCTGAAAATGTGCCACCGCTTGCCTTTTAGTTTCTCGCTTGCATAGTTTGGTTCGAATGAAACAAATAATAGAGGTAAAAGATGGTGTTTCTTCCCTAAAGTGTAATTTCTGGAAATATTTCATGCATTTTTTTAATCCTTTAAACTTATCCAAATTTCTTGCCGACCTCTTTCCTGCATTTTCCAAAAGAAAATCCCCCAGATTTCAGGTTTTGTATGGTACCGGTGTTAATCAAGAATGACAACGAAGCGTTTCATTTTCAGTGAAGTATCTTTTACTGATAATATTTGCTTGATGGGCAATGCAGCTATAACCGGTGCCTTTTAACACCACAAATTTTTTGCGAATGTCTAAAAAAAAGTGCTGCGTCTTCTAAGTCTCCCGCCAACCCAGAAGTTCTATTGAATACTTATGAAGGGAAATTCCTGCAGCCACCACCTTGAAATATGAATTAGCCACTATTTGGTGTAAAACTGCTTCATGGAAGGTGACGTTGATGAAGGTTGGTTCCGAGCATTCATATACATAGGGAAAATGCGTTTAATTTTCAGCATGCCGAAGCGCGACCAACATGTGCAACCTGTAAGTGTGATAAGATTTTAATTTCAAGGGGGGGCGTGATGGTCCTCGAAATTTTTGAAGAATCAGAGCGAAGCATACAACATCTCGGAGTGAAATTCGTAATATTGCAGTTATCTGAAGGAAACACTGTCACATGTATTTCTGTTTTTGTCGAAATCTAGTAAGAACAGGCCTCCCGAGGTCGATGCTCTTGTCTGTCGCGAAAGAGTATTGAGAGGAGGTCGACCTGAAAGTTCATTGCTGGGAAAAAAAAAATGGGAAGAAAAGACGGTAGAAGTAGAAGGCACGACCCCGTCACGACGCGTGAGAGCGTGCATGTCGAGTATGTCCGGGTTATTATTCATGGCGAAGATATCGATAAAGCGCGCCCGAATTGAAAAGCGAAAGGTGTGGATTATAGGAAGGTGGGTGATTTTGGACTGCCTAATTGCTACGGTAATAGAGAGAAAAATCTTATAAGTGAATAGTTTACTAGGTGCTTGGATTTGGGGACTTCGCAGTGTTGTAAAAATGAGCATCCCAAGTGAGCTGGGTATGTTATCCCAAGGAATTTCAAAGAATTACATAGTTGGAGAAATGTTTACAAAAACAGGATTGATGGAAAAAGGCTCTTGCGGGGAAGTATGAGACTTTTTGTGTTTTCTTTGAGTTGAAGATAACTTCCATCGGGATTCCCATGTAGATATGGATTCCTGTGTTGGAGTGATGCAATTACCTATTCCTTTGGGACGTGTGACAGGTGGATTGCACGAATGGTTGTGTAATCTGCAAAAAGGTGGACCCAGTTTGGATCGATGTCATTGATTGAAAAGGAAAGAGGGTTGGGCCAAGGACATTGCCTTAGGGGACTCTTGGGGGGAATTCTGAGGGTGACATTACCTTGGGGAACGCCAGGGTGGAATGTTTAGGGTGTCGTGGAGTAACCCTCCAGGGTAAGAGATAACTGGTGATCGCAGGTGATAAACAAGGTGGTGAAGTGGACCTTAGATACCATATCCCTGAGTTTTGTGCGGGAGCTTTCTGTCATGCCTCATGAAATGCTTTAGAGATGTCGAAAGACAATAGGGCCACTCTTTCAAAAGTAATGGTAATTAATAATAGAGGGTAGCCTGTGAGAGTGGATATCAAATTGTGTGCTGAAGATCAGGTTTTTTTTCTCAAGGGTATGGCTTCAGACGTTAATTTATAAGGGATTCTTAAAACTTTCCAACTATGGATGGAAAGATTGGAAAGGTCTCTAGATTCGGGGAAAGGAACGACATTAACAGACCTCCAGAGAAAGAATACAGGCTGATGAGAGGCAAAAGATGAACAATTGAGATGGGTGCAAATCATCGTGACTAGTAGAGAGATGGAATTGGGGCCACATGCTTTGGAGCCACTACAAGATAAAACTGTGCAGATGTACGACGGGAACGAAGGGCTTTATTGATGTTGGACATGCTGCTAGTGAATGGTGAGAGCGATGATAGCTATGACTTGATGGTCCGACAGCGACAGTCCACTCTCCGTCGTCGTATCAATTACTGTCGCCCTTTTTTTTTGGTCCAGATTATTCACAATGGCGGCGTAAAGGATGGTTTTCGGGGAAGGGGTCCCTCCATCCATAGGTTGACCATAAAAAGGAGCCCCCCCCCCTCAAGGCAAAAGATTAGAATAGGGTCGTGTGTGGGTGACTTGAGTTAGTTCTTATAGCCATTTTCAACTTTTGGCATTTCTAGTTTATCAGAAGAAAAATGAAGGAGTAGCAGAACGCTCTAATGACGGTTTTTCTAAAGAAAGGGAAACTCGGAACAGGAGTTGAAAATACAGGCAAATACGCCAAGAATGATGATGATGATGCTGATGCTAGATGGAAAGTCCCAAAGCATTCAATGATGCAGAATGAGAGGAGTAGGGATGTGGGAGGGAGACTTACTTCTCCTCATGCCCCCGCGGAGAGTCAATGCAACCTAATGAATAATTTTCAGAAATAATGTACTTTTCTCGTGCTTATCAAATTGGTCAAAAACAGTACCAGCTCGTATTTTTTGCTCATTCGTGCTTCGCAGATCTCATCTCATTGAAATTTGGAGGCAGAAAAGTAAATTTCCTATCTCTGCTTTTAGAGACGTAAGTAACAAAGAAACATGGAATTTTATTGAACCACGTCAATCACAGAATAAAATGCTTCAGCATTCAGAATGAATCTTTCCGAAAACTTTTCCATTTAATGAGTTGCTGTATCATGGTCCCACTTCGATTCAGAGGTCCGCATTCATCTATCATATCTCATCTCTCGATTTAAAAGCGACATGAAAGCTATGTTTCATCTCTAGAGTAAGGGGATTCAAAGACGTTACAAGGCAATGGGGTGGAGAGGGAATCCTGGGCGTTTTAAACAGGCTACCTGCGATCAGGGATCCTGTTTACTCGGTATCTGCCGACATGCTTCCTAGACTCCGGGAAATAAGCCAATAATACTGTCAGCAAAAACATTAAGTTTCCTTATGTGTAATCGGTGGTCCCAAGCTCAAGTCTCGTCGCTTCTTCCGGAATGTAGAACTTGAAATTGAAATAGTGGTGAGAGGGAGCTAGGATTTCAAAATCCATATGCAGAGAAGGACATTTCACTGAGTCTTGACGGGTCGAAGATCTCTTGGGGGTTTCCCTTATCTCTCAATGGCAGAAAATCATGGATAGCCCAGCATTTCATTGCATGGATATGCTCTTTCTCTCGCTTGGGAAAAAATGTGGATAGAAACGCGTACATTCCAATGAAGGATTTTATGCATGCTCATTCACATTTTCGATGCAGGAAAACGGTGTGTAACATCTGCAGTTATGCATCGTTTTCCTGTATATTGCACACCAGTGTCTGCACAGGAGGTCTGGTAACTTAGTTGCTCTGTCTAATGTATTTTTTTTATGTATCAGTTTCATTACATGTTACATTTTACCTGTCTGAAAGTATTTTTGGGCTGCCCGTGATTTTTCCCCCAATCAAAGTTAGGTTTTTCCTTAAACGGATCTGTTTTTGTGTGCGTTTCTTTACTAGACCGAGCCTGAAATGTAAGACTTCTTTATTGTCTGATTAGCAAATATGTGAATGCTGCAGCCCCAGCTTTTGTAAACCTTATTTCATTTTTTCTTTCTCTTCCTTTTTTTTTAAATTTACAATTCCATTGTTTTTATTCAGGCACGGGCGGCCCCTGCTTTCCGTGATTGCATGCGATATAAATGCAGAATGGTTCAGAATAACGATGCAAAAAGTTCCTATTTCTCTCTCGGTTGATATTGAGGAAAATTCAGAGCATCAGCCTGCGCCTAACTTACGAATAAAATCTGAAATTCCGCGAAGTTTTCGATTCCACACTTCAAGCATATCTAAATCCCGAAAATTGGCCCAGTGAAGTATACGGAAAAGACTTAATTCCCAATGAACCGAGTTATTACCTACATTAAATGATCCGTTGTGCTCAGGCGTCCATTGTGCTGGCACGGATGAACTTCTCATCTGCCTCCCTTTCGTCTGGTCGCTCGTTATACTCTTGCAGTGATGAGGAAAGCAAGAAATATGATGGTGCATGACGGGCTTTTCTGTGAGTTTTGACAGGTGGTGAATGGGCGTCTGGTCGAACGAAGGGCATTTTTAGCAGGACAATGAACTCCCGAAATTGACCCTCTTCAATATCCTTAAATCCTCGCATATGCCGGCTCTTTTATGCAGATTCTATCTTGATGGGTCTATATATCTCGGTAACAGTGGTCCCTGGGGTGACATATTGTAACTCACTCGCGAGAGGAGTGCGAGTGGGGTGGATTGGAAGCATTTACTTGTCGGCTGATGGACGACGCGTTGTAGCAACGTCGTGTCTCTGTAGCAGATGCTAAGCAATTGTCTCGTTTACCTGGGTCGCAATTTATTCCAGGGGGGGGGGGGGGTATCAAATGAAAGTGTGCATACTCAAAGATTGCCTTGTTGAGACCAATTGGGCCTCGCGTAAAGTTCTGCGCAGTTCAAGGCAAAATGTGAACATGAACTGAGAGTGCGAGAAGTTGCCTGGGGTGGGGGAATATTGCAGTTGCTATTCTCGGCCTGAAAGGCGTTATCGTGCCTGTAGTTATTCGTCTTTATGTTCCATGAACTTCTCATGGAACCCTGAGATGTGAACATCGTCGGCTGGGGCATGCAACTCTCACATTCTCACTCTCAAGCTCCTGCTACCAATTGATTATTATCATTGATCTGACGAGAATGATGAGTTTTATTATATAAAAAAAAGGCTTCAGTAGGGGTACCGAGATGGGAGGGTCGAGCACTCCAATGAGTGGTGTCTACACACCACAGGAGAGGAAAATTCTTTTTTTTTTCACAATAGTAACATATGTTCCATGAATTTTGTCAAAAGAAATGAAAATTGTCGCTAATACACAGTCTTAATTATAGTATCATTGAGAGTAGCCAGACACTTTCTCTGGTGTCATTATGCGTCCTCGTCTTCAACCTTGACCACTACCAACGCGAGACTTCAAATTTTAGCTTCTTGCAAGACACTCGAATGCTTGCAGATTTTCATCAGACAAAAAAAAAAGAGGTTCCCAATATTTTGAAGTTTCTGTTTTATCTGTTAACGAATGGAAAAGTACTATTAAAGTAAGACAACACCCTCAACAATCACCCGAAATCGCAGTCCATTAACAGTCGAGGGGTTACTTCCGATGAGCCGGCACAGTTTTCAGCGACTCCATATTCACTCCAACTGACTGTGGGTATTGGACAGGCGGTGAATGTGACTCCGCTTTTGGGTGTCTCCTGCAAGGCGGGTCGCTGCAGAGTCGGATCTCTTCATCACCTTTGACACTATCGAGAGCCACTCTGGCATCACAGAAGTCCAATGAGTGATAGCGGTGTAATTTGCAGTAAGATGGAATTCCAAATTTATCAAATATGAACCTCCTGTATCTCCTGTGAATGGCATTGTACGATACCACGTAGACAGAAATGTAATTTTCCCACCTGGGATTGCTTCTATCTATAGCATTGGAAACTCTCTTTTCGCAGTATCATGCAAAAAAAGAAATGCCTTAATAACGCACTTTGGAAACCGTAACTACTTTCTCCTGGGTGGATTTGCACATGCCAGTGCAATTCGTGCGAACCTGGGGGGAGGGGGGGATGCCGCTGTCTCCTCCTCCTGAACTATAAGGTGTTACGAAAGTACAACCTTTTAGGTTCCAGTCCAATCTAGTTCGTGTAAGGCCGTGGCTTGGGTCGCAAAAAAATGTTTTTTCGTCTCCACTGGTAAGCGGGGATGGGGGAGTGGTAAGTGAGTGAAGGTTGGAGTGTCACATGTCACCTCACTAGACGTTGTAACGCCCAATAGCTTATTTTTGGATTATTAGACCGATTCCATATTCTGGGAAGGGGACCGTAGCCCCCCCTCTTGTTACGTTAATTTTAGTCGCTATGTAGGCATTCGAGGGATTCCTGCGGTCGTTGAATGGCGGGAGTGTTTCATAGGAGTAGGTATAGATGGCTCTGGTGCCATGCGCATACGCGCCTCGCCAAGGCCTTTGACGATTCGAGGCAAGAGGGAGCGAAGCCGAGGCAGCAAGGTACTGGCACAAGGGTAGTAGGATGGTTGGAATGGGCTGGAAGGGCAAGCGGACATCGTCTCTCCCGTCTGGGTCTTGGCTCCGCCCCCATTCTGCGCACTGTCGGTGCTCTCTTTTCCATTAGCGGCCTGTGCAGTGGATTGAACTGTGGGCCTAGTGGGCGGCTTAGGTCTTTGGGCGGTGGCTCATCTTCATAACTTTTGCTATCCCTCGGGTGACCACGACGAGCCTGGTGGCCTAGCATTGGGGGCCGATGTGAACCTCAACGCCCCAGGGTTCAAATTACATTCAGCTTAACTTATTCACGCACTCACCTACACTTTTCCGTGTGCCCTATTCGATCGTGGCCGCGTCAAAAGCAAGAGTAACTCACAACTAGACAAAAATTAGCACTTCAAATAGCGAATTTTACAGGAACTGCATTGGTGCGAACCGGCACGATCTCAATGGAGTACCATTACAGACGCTTTTACTCCTCTTCGAAATAAAACGCTGGGCAAGTTCGTTTGCATGTCCGCCGGCACGTACGCCAACGCGTGTTTGTTTTACTCCACACTGTCAAGGCCGAAATCATGTGGCGTCTGTAAGCCGAGAACCAACATGTACACTGCACTCGCATTTATATCGTGCAAATGGATGACTTTTTTTATGCATAACCACAGTAGTAATATCATCACCAAGATGGTACATGATTTTTTAGACTCAACTCTCTCCATTCTAGGAGCATCATGTGGTCAGTATATTGCTCAGATTATGTCTCAGGCCAGCATTGAAATCCAAAAGTTTAGAATTTTCTTACTGAGTAGGAAATTGGAGTGTGATTTGGAGAGAACCATGAATGAAGTTCAAATACCAACTGTCGTGGATCCAACATACTTCCACCTTGAGTGTAAACTGCAGTCAATCCAATTTCCAGTGTACACCACCATGTCTACTACCAGACAGCTGCACTACGCGATTTTCTTTCATCAATGCAGGAAAGTACTGCCACAGGAATTCACTCAGATTAAAACCAAGACCACCTGTCTCTTCAGTAGAGGTGCACACAGACCCCATAGGGAAAGGAAAGCAGGTGTGGTGACCTTATGATGGACTGGGGTTGGGCCATCACTCATCACAGTAGGCCTACTGTCATTCTTTGTATGCCACAATAATGTATTGGGATGTATATTGGCAATATGAATGCCCCTGATATTTGTTCAAAGAGCATTGTAGAATTCTATATGACTGGATAGGTTCATGTAGAGTTTGAACTTTTTTTCTCTTGTAACATGCATAACTCATAATTTCACAGCTTCTTTCGTTTGTGGGCTTGTAGGTGAGCAGAATTATGTTAAATAGTTGCCAGGTGCAAATTTCATTATACATGATTCCTTTTTCTTTTGTTAGATTGTTACATCAGCAACAAGATGATAGCCAAGACTGAGCAAGCCAGCAATGGAAGTGAAAAACCAAAGACAGATGAGGAGATTATCCTGCAGTCCATGGTTTGCATTGAAGAAGAGCCATCAGAAGTTCAGATGGCTGCTTACAACAAGGCAAAGAAGGAGTATATAGATTACTTGGAGAAAGTGGCAAAATTGAAGGAGGATCCTAAACTTCTCATCATTGAGTTGGATCATCGAGGAAATGTCATTAGTTCAACTTCTCCCAAATCATCCATCATTGCATCCACCAACCCTGTTGCCATTGGTCAAGCTCTACCTGTATCAGTTCAGCAGATAGCATCATCAGGTGAAGTTTTGTTGCTCAAGGAATCATGATTCAAGATCACTCCAAAGATGCCATGAGCATTTGCTTACAACTACTTTTGTTAACAAACCATCATTAGCTCTGTTGGACTCAACTGGTATTACCTTTCTCACCATGTTTATGCATTTTCTAATTACATGCATTTGTTTTTGCATTAAGCTGTTGTTCTAAGCTGCTAATGGGAACAGCATTAGTTCCTTGTTCCCTGAAAAATAATTGCCATTTCTGTAATGCTTTTCTTGCAGCAAATGCCAGCAGTGATGCATTGCACACAGTGAGATACAAAGTAACATTAGTGAGTAATAATAGGTTTGGAAAGGCCTCTGAAACTATAGGCTTGTGAAAACTAAGGAAAAAAACAAAAGCCAAAATTAATGGCAGCCAGGGGAAGAAAAAGATGTATGAATAGCTTATTTTTGTCAATTTTCTTTTTTGGCTGTCTATGAGGAGGGGGGGGGGGGGTCAGATCAAAATTAAGGCTTTTGCCCCCACTTTCAGAGATAAGTGGGTGTTGGCTGGGACAACACCAACCCAATTGGTGTACCTATATTTGCTTCACAGTCGGCATCCTCCATGAACTGCATCTATTCACTGAAAATATCAACAAAACTTATAAATCACTGAAACAATATTTATTTTTATTGCTTTTGTTGCTTTTGTTTTTTGTTTTTTTGCTGAAGCATGAAGGGAAACTTTTATCACATGAAACAAAATTAAAATGACATCCCCTGAGTAAAAACTAATAATAATGATTAAAATTTGATTCCAAAGGCAAAACTACTCTGACTGGAACAGTATCTTTTGTTCTGGAAATCCTCACTGTCTTGTCTGAAGAGACTCTTGAGAATGACAATGCAATTTCTTGAGAACAAACTCATAGCTCCTTAATTCTTCTGCAAGTAGCACTGTTGTGTGAGGCTTTCCCCCACTCCTCCCTACCCCCCTCAAAAGCCAACAAAGAGCAGAATTTCTTATGACAACAGCTTCTGGTCAGCTACAATCCAAATGTGAGGCTGAAAATAAGATTGTACATTGTCATGCACTTCTCAAGCAATGGAATTCAAAGTTTTTGTACTTTTGCATTTTTATTTTTTGCATGAGAAATAACTTAATTCTAACTAATAGTTTTTGGTGAAGTATGATTTAAAGGGTAACCCATGAAAATGGATTTTTTCCTTCATATTTTGTATATTTTGACCAGGTTTTTTGTTTAAATGGTTGAATTTGATCCTTCTAAGGCAAATTTGGAAGTTTCGATCATTTATCAACCCTTTAACCTAAAAAGAAAATGATAGAAATTCATGCACCTGACAAAATTAATATAACTAGCCTTCTAATTGATGCAGGAGGGTCTATGATGACTTGAAGGTGTTGAAATTGGGTACATTTTCTATTATTCATATTTCAATAGTTTTATTGGTATTTTTGTCAGAGCACTAATTATCTGAAGTAATATTTAACTAAATTTCATTAAATTTTGTTAATGCCAAATAATTTTATCATCAGGTTTGTAATTAGTAGTTTTGCTTTTAACTTTAAAAGTGCAAGAATTTTATATTGAAAGCATGGCATTTTAACAGTAGCTAAGGGTTGCCTAAATGTTCAAAAATTTTAATTTTTGCTCCCAATTACTGTAGTACTCCCAAGTAAATCCTTTCAGTGTAATAAATTACATCCTAAGAAATTCCAGGAACTGGTACTATTTCTGAGTATCTTTTCTTACAGGGTGTCCAAAATAGGCAGTCCCTGTCTTGGAATATTATCTGATGCGTAACAGTGGAATCTGTGAAATTGCTTTGAATGAAATATATTTTTCTCCTTATTGCCTCAAAACAGAAATTCAACATGACTTCCAATCTTGCATTATAATTACATCTAAAGAAAGGGACTTCCATTATTTTTTGGGCCACTGTATAGTTATGCATCATTAACTGAGACATGCTTGACATCAGAGAGTAGCAGGAACTGACATTTGAAATTTTGAATACACGTGGTTTTACAGGTTAATCTTATATAGCAACTTTCACTATGTCTTTCTGTAGGTTCTACACCACTTGCAGTGTCTGGAAGTATCCTCGTGGTGAATCCCAGTACAGGAACCATTACTATGGGTATGTTTCATGCTCTTGCTTCATACAGGAGTACTTCATCTGTCATTCATTTTTAGCTCATCAAAGTACCTTCAATAGGAATTAATTTTATGAATGTATTCTGGTTCACTTCTCTCCTGAATTGGAGAAATACATGTTACATTTCTTGTGAAATTTTTTTGGGATCCTGATTATCACACTATAAATTCCTTTAAAGGATAAGGGTATTGCCAAATGCTGAGAAACTTCTTAATGGTCAACCAGGTAATATTTTGTCAATAAATTTTCCCTTTGATTTCAGTATTTGTATTCATGTTTTCATTAGGTAAATTATTGGATCATTGTAAGATGTCTGGAAACATTAAAGATTTTGCTTGATCATGAAACAAACTTTTCTTTTGTCAAAATGCCTTGTTATAGTTCTTCTGACCTTGATTCACTTCCTTAGCAGAAGCAATCCAGAAGCCACTAACAACTGCTGAAAGCAAAGTCCCTGTCACAACTACACCAGTTTCAACAAAACCCAGCCTTTCTGTCACAACCAGAGCCATGAGATCAGCAGCACTGAAAGTAGTGAGTGTATCTTCAAAGGCTGGAGTGACTACTTCAGGGGGAACCACAGGGACCAGTTCCTCTGGAGCAGTGAAAGGGGACTCTGAGGCAAAAGGAGCAGGTACAGCTGTAGGTATCAAAGGGTCAGCTACCTCAGGTGTTGTGAAAGGAGCAGCTGCCAAAGGAGCAGCAACCTCTGGAGTTGTTAAAGGGACAAGTACTCCTGGAGTTGTGAAGGGGGTGAGCACTTCTGGAGGCATTAAAGGACCAAGTGCCTCTGAGGTTGTCAGGGGGAAAAGTGCAAGAAAAAGTGCCCCAGGGAGCATAACTTCTGGAATTGCCAAAGGGGCAGTTGGGGGAGCAAAAGGGACTGGCACTTCTGGAGGAGACAAGATGACAAGTCCTACTTCAGAGAAAATAGGTCCCTCTGGATTGAGAACAATCAGTTCGATTGGGGGAAAGATGAGCACTCCAAGCACCAGTAGTGCAGGCACAAACTCTTCTATTCCAGCCAATCAGACTAAAAGTCCGCCTTCATCTGCAACTGTTGCCCGTGAGCAGAATAGCGCTATTCAAGCATTTCAACTACCTCTCCCAAATGCCATAGGAGCATGATATGCTGCTTGCCCACAGCAAAACTGGTGGAGGTGGAGGTAGAGACGAGAGATAGTCTAAAGGTGAGTGAAGAGTTGCTGAAACATGCTATGCTGCTTGTCTTCCCTCGTCCCAAGGCCCATGTTGACAAAGAGGCTGCAAAGGCTCTTCGTTTGGAACTTGGTGCGTTCCTTCTTCTTGAATTTGCAAAATTAGTAATTAAAATGACAACAGATTATATTTTGTTGCACAACATTGAATTTTATAGTTTGCGATGGTGCTGGTATACTAATAAACCATGTGCTATTCCTTCATCAAAAGAAAAGAACTATGTGAAACTGTTAAAATGGAATTGGAAAAACTAAGCTCTCTCTTCATAAAGACCAAGCAAAAGAAAAGAAAAACCAGCAGCCTTTATATATATTTATAGGAATATATATATTTTTTAGAGTTAATTTTTTGTTATGACTTTACCATAAAAATATCCATCATCTGCAGAGCTTCTATGAAAAGTGTGTTAATGTCAGTGATCCATATGCCTGCTGCTATCAGCTATCCATGAAGTACCATTACATCTCAATTTCATGTATTGCATCATGATATAGAAATACTTGTCAAGATTGTACATGAATGCTGAAGAAAGATTCAATTGTTTGACCTCTTCCTGTTGCAACATAATGAAATAATCTTAATTTTGTGCTTTTGGAGTACTGCATGCAGTATTATGTGATGGTGAAAATGTCATTACAGGGAAGAAGTTGCACACTGAAATCCCACCAAAGTTTATTTTGTTGTTAGCAGACATCTCATGCTGTTTTTGTATACATATTGACTTACCAGACAAGAAGGTGAAGGGGTACCTGGGCTACACATCAAATCGCTTCACGGAATTCCTCATTCAGTCTGGACTTGTGCGAAGCATCCAGTACTGTGACCTCCACTCGGACCAGAGAAACCGACCCACTGAGCTCAAGTTGGCTGTCTATTCAGATGTCTCCAAGTTCCCACATTCAGGGGGATATGTTTGGGTCAGCGATTGCTGCCCTGACCGCTTTGTGTCTGTATTTCGGGGTTCCATTTTTGAAGGTGCCAATCAGAACCCTGCTGTGATTCTCAAGCTCATCTATCACTGGGCTTGTCAGACAAACCCAACCAATGTCTCTCTTTGGGTCAAGACTGAGTTCTCATATGTTGCTGCCTTCTACTGCACCTTGCGGGGGACATGCACACTTGCTGTAAATAAGCATTTGGGCAAACTAGGGGGTCGTGGGAAACGCGTGGAGGTAGGCTTTGTGCGACTTCGGAACAAGGATGAAAATGGGAAGAATCTGGACTTTTATGTCTTGGGAATATATGACAAAGGATTGCCAGGCTATCGATTCCTTGCCCTTGAAGCCAAGGCTCAACTGGATCTGGGTCAGATCCGTGAATTTCTCATATCAACTATTCACCAATGCTCCGAGATTGAATTCGACTCGAAGGTGTTGAACGATGCAGTGTTCCGTGGTGTCTTCCCTCATGGCACACTCTTTGGGATCCCTGATGGAGCTGCAACAATCCATGCCTACATGAAAGAGAGAATCCCTGGCTTATTCAAGCTCTCCTACCATTCCATGAAGGTTCAAACAATGCAGCAATTCTTGGATGAGTTATCCTGGAGGGAGAAATGGGGGCATGGGGCAAATCATGCCTTTGACAACCTCATTAATCACATTGCAGCAGAGACCAAGACATGTCAGAATTTGGTCTTCAGACCCTATACAGGTAAAACCTCAAGTTATGTGAGTAAAATGAAATTGATGTTGGCATGACTGACTGTTCAGAGATTAATAGGAATGTGGCTCTTGTCATTTGGATTGTGCAGTATGGAATCAGGGGACCATGGTATCTCAGTATCATCAGCAGGGTCTCGTGACTCGGCTCTCTCGAGTCATTCACAACCCTGCAGCACGTTGGATTTTACAGTTGATTCCCAAACCCCATGATGAGGTGAGTGACTTGGTGATGGTGTGCATAAATTCACTAATAATAATATTGACAAGCCCTTTTTGTGTAGCCGAAGGTGACATTCACTTCATCAGCATCAATACCAGCCCAAAAACCTCCTCCTCCCAGACCTGCTTCAAAGCTTTCAGACTCTTCTTCATCCTCAGAGAGTGGTTCGATGGTAATGAAAAAATCTGAAGAGATGGTCATGCTTGTCCCTTATTATTATGCCCGCCTACCTGGCAAGACACTTCAAGATAAGCCTAGGACTCCTGTCAATGTCAAGGTGAGTGTAGATTATCTTTCTTTTCGACATCAATTTATGAGGGATTGCATATGATTGCAAAATTCAAAATGTCTTGAACAATTCAATGTGCAGTGTCACCTGTGCACCAGAGTGTTCAGTGATGCCAAGAAGCTGACCCATCACCTGATCCTTCATCTGGAGAATTCCCGAAGCTATTCATTTGACCTGAATGATCTCACAGTGTGCAAGTATTGCTTTCGGAACTTCACCACCCCTTTTGCCATGCAGACTCATGTGGAAGAGGTGAGTCTTCAACCTCATCCATGTAATCTTGCACCCCTGGCAAAACTGTCAGAAATGTGACCTCCCTCTGGAATTCAACTTGAAGCTATTGCACTCTTGAGCTAAAGGTGTTGAATACCTTTGCAAAGTAACTCTAGGGTTGCATACTTCTTTGGTGACAAATGGTGGAAGTAGAAATTTGGAGAGCACCATCCACTGATATAAGATACAAAGAAGTTGCATCACAACATAATATATCTGTAAGAGTTGGTTCCTAGCTCAGCAAATATAGGGTGCCCCATTAGTAAGTTTACTCAATTAATGAATCCATGCCTAAAATCCTTGGTTCTTTAGTAAGTCTGAGCCATTTCAGCCATAAATAAATACAGACACCAACAGGATTTGAAAAGCAGACCAGAATAATATGCAACATAAATAACAAACCTAAGTTAATAAGAATCTGAACCAAGCAAAGACTCCTTTGCAGCCTAGCCTATTCCATAGCCCTTTATTCCTGTTAGATATGGACTATAATAGCACAAGAAAACCAAAAGTTTACTGCATTTGAAATGAAACTGCACTGGAAAGTTCTCAATATCCAATGTGATGACAAAAGTTCCAATGAAGAAATCAAGAGACAGGCCAATGTAACAGAAGAGAACAACATCATGAATATGGTGCAGAGGAGGCAATTGGAGGAAGTGAAAGTGGCTTGATCATGTGCTGAGGATAGGAGGGGATCAGCCTCTCAAAATCTACCTGCAAGGAAAGACAACTGGCATGTACCTGGAAGCAGCCAAATGCAAGGCAGAAGATTGCCAGAGTTTGAAACATTTTTGTCTGAGGAGAGCAGGTCTGTAAGGACAACTCATGGAAAGAAGAAGAGGTTAATAAGAAATTATTGCAATTGAATATCCTTTGGTAAATATACTTATGGTCCAGTATTACCATCTGCTGTTGTTCCTTGTGAAATGATGTTGGAAGGATAAATGCAGAACTTGTTAACACTAGAAGAAGCATAGCTGTCCTTTAAACTGGTATTTATACTTTTTTAGCAGTAAAAATGACCACTGTGGTCCTTCTAGTGTAAACTACCTTTATATTCTATAAACTGTGGTGTTGTTCTGCAGCTTTCTGGATTTATCATTACTGAAGACCTATTGTAGTTCCCCAAAGCCATTGTTAATGTTGTTGGCAATCGACAATTAAACCAGTATCATTAAAGGGTTAGAAATCAGCTTTGTAAAATGCCCATGACATGAGCAAATATCAGTTCAAAGTTAACATAAAGCTGTTTTTTTCTTATTGTCTTGGGTTCTACTTTTCTCACTGTGGAGATGAAAATAACTGATCCATATAAATTGCATCTGTCAGAGAAAAGCTAAGAGAACTGCAATGTCCACCAGGTCTGGTTTCATTGCAACTATCCTTGCATTGGAAAATGGTTGGGGAAAATTTAGACATTTTGGATTATTTTGAAAATATTATTAATCTTGAATATTAAATCTACATGGCACATGTTTCAGATCAATGGGAGCTTCCATTTGACATCTTATTGATGTCTATAATAATTGGAAAGAAAAAATGCAATATTGTTTTACTGGTCATTTTGTCAATTTTAATTATAATACCTCATGAACTGTTGACCTCAAAAAAAGTTGGATTTTCACTATTATGCAGTATGCTGATATAATGAAGTAAACACACAGGTAAGACAGCATGTTTATTTTAACCTTTTTATAGGCCCTAGGAATTCCACTTCCCACTGTAGAAAATTCTTATTGAAGAATGTTTGGTTAGGGAAGCCTATTTCCCACTGATTCAGCTAGGGAATCATACTTCCCAATTAATTTGCATATGATTTGTGATTAATTAAATATTGCATTCCTCTCATTTTTATGTAATTTACTTGATGAGTTAAGAGAAACCTGGATGATATGCCAATTTTCCCAAATAAAAATTGGCCATGTGAGGGTTAAAAAAAACCCATGACTGATTTGGTTGCTAAAGAGTTCATCATTGTTTGGTCAAATTGGGACACACACAGATACTATTTTCTATCCAAATGGATTAAGTCTTGGTGGTATGGTGACTTTGTTATTATGTAAGAACATGTTGTGCTTAGACCATGCCCTGAATTTAATACTAGTACTAATAGTAATATGGTGATCAATTTGACTGCTGTATCAGAAGTAGTATAAAACTATCATTCTATAACTTTTTAATTGTTTTTCCTAGGTGTTATGTGGTATGTTCAAAGTGTTGAAATGTTCTAAATGTCAATATTAGATAGGAAAAGCAAAAATTGCAGAGACCTGTAGTTGCCAAGTGAGCAGGGCATGAAAAATCAGCAAGCAGTCAAAATGAAAATAAAAAATCCCAGTAGTTCTAGTGTTAAAGAAAGTTGGACTTCATGCCCAGGTGACTCAAAAGGAGGAATTGGGGTAGAGCACCATATTTTGTTAATTTTCCATGAGTAGGTCAAACTACCCAGAGCTAGTCACTTCTCTGGATGCCAGAAGTTTTGTCTTCGTGTGGTAGATTTGCTGGATGGTTTCCTTGAATGCTTCCATTAGTTATTGAAGCCACTAAATGGGAAAACTGACAGTTTATATTGTGAATGTATTGTGAAAATCTATTCTGTGGTTATCTTAGAATGCATAACCTGAAAAGTGGGTGCTCCTTGAGGATGTGCTTGTAAAGTTCATGCCATGTGAGATGACAGTGAGAAGATGGTTGCAGTGAATGTTGGAAAAATAGGGTTGAATGGGATTGAGGAATTCCCAGGTTTGTATTGGCACAGTGATTCACACGATTCACACTCAATTTTGTGTACTGTCCCCACCTTCTAACCATCACCTCCCATTGCATCTACTTTGGAGGTGATGCAGGATTTATATCCATCCACAATATTTGGTGTGTCAATAGGTTAAATTATTGCCACAATTAATGGCAATGAGTGTTCCAATGTGCATCCGATATGTTAGTGGTGGTTTTCCATCCATGAGTTGCCTCACATGCATTTCTTCACAAAGGTGCACCTGAAGAGCCATGGGATCCTCGAGTGTGGAATCTGTAACGAGGTGCACAAGAATCGAATAGAGCTGATTGATCACATGCACAAGACTCATGTTCAGTGTGAGATGCCCTACTCTTGTGGTCTCTGCAACTACCGCTCTTCTTTTTATAAGGATCTGCTGGATCATTTTCAGCAGGTGATGATGCTGAACAGAACAAAACTTCATATATTATTTTAGGACTACCTTCAGTTATGTATTCATTATGTTATATTACTTGACAACAGTTGCATGGGGAATCGTACATGATGTGTCACCACTGCCTGAAGTTGTTCAAGGGAACATCAACCATGTCAGCCCTGTCTTTCTTCCAGCACATGCAGGTCTGTGTCAGTCACAAATATCTTTTTAAACAATCTATTGTGTTGAGAGTCATTCTCACTTTTGTTCTATAGAAGCATCAGGGGAGGAAGCGAGAGGCAAAGAACAAATGTAAAGCCTGCTGTCTTATGTTCCCTAAAGTGGAACAACTGAGGACCCATGTTCAGTTGGACCATATCTCCTTTGCTTCTCACAGTGGTATGATGTCTTCTTCCATTGTACTAATAATAGGTTGCATTGTGCAAGTTTCCATGCATGATGGTGCTTATGTTTTTGCTTTCATCACAGGTGTGAAGGCAGTAACTGCAGAAGAGCTGAAGGAAGTTGTGATGATGCCCCGCCCAGATGAGTCAGAGCGAACGAGCCTGCGCCGGAGACGCTTCCGACCTGTCAGTACTGGCCTTCCTCCCTCAGTATATAAGAGTGTGGGGAACATACCCATCCAGATGGACCCAAGCTGTCTGGGCTTCAAGTGCCTGGAATGCTCATCTCTAGTTTCCTCATCTGACCACTTCTCGTGGGTCCTCTTCTCTCCTCTCTTGCTCTGAAGATGCTTTTGGTCAATAATGATTGCATGATGTGTGTGCAGGGGAGTATGGTGTTGTACGCACTGTAGTTACACTACCTGTTGTGAGATAGCAGCTGAGTCTCACCCGAAAAACTTTCATGAGTTGAACCAATCTCCTCTCCCCACGAAATCTTTTCCTCCTCTTCCCCAGCCCTTATTCTGCATCTGCGAATTTTCTTCCTCATCTGGTGATGCCCTTGGTATGCATACCCTCTTCCATTACTTCCTTCCATCAACATTTGTTCCCAAGACTGTTATATTTGGTTTTGCATTGCAGCAAATCATCTTGCCCAGTGCCGGAAGCATTCTGTGTATCCTTCAGCAGAACGGGCTAGTCGAGCTACACTTGAATGCTCCAGTGCCTTTTTCCCTCCACTGGTGGATCTGTTGAGTGACGATGATGAAGATGAACCTCAGCCATCAGAAAATGATCTGAATGAACTATGGTACAGGGCTTTATTGAAGAACCAAAGGGCTTCTTACACTTCAAGCTCTTTGACATTTGCTTCACATCTATCTGGTGGGTTCAACCTTATCTTGCAAATTCATGTTTCTATTCAACATCTCACCTTTTTCCAGGAAGTTTAAAGTCTAAACTCTCACTCACATTTAACATGAGGTGTACCCTTTAACCCGCATACAAATCCATCAGAATCATACTCTCACAGTGGACTTTTAAAATTAAGAATGTGACATTTAAGGGTGATGATGAAAGCAGTGTTCTTCTTCCAGTTTGAGCTGATTCAAGCTGAACTAAGTTTGACCACAGCCACTGATGATGTCATCCAGGAGTGTCAAACTTGATTTGGTCAAGGGCCAGATAGGTTGATGCAGGGGTGGTTGGAGGCCACACAAACTAATCTCACGCCACATTTTTAATGTGAGAAAGTTTAAATTTGCCACAATTTTCTGAAGCCTACTGTTGAGGACTTTGCAGGCCAGACAAATGGAATGGTGGGCTGGATCCAGCCCATGGGTCGCCAGTTTGACACCCCTGATGTAATTGATCCATATGTAAATAACAGTTGGATTTTCTTGATCTGAAATTAATTGGCAAAATATGCATGTTGAGCAAAATGTGGACCTGCAAACATATGACTCTCATGATGCTGCAATATTACATGACTCTGCATATGATCACACCAGGGTGTTATTAATACATCTGGGGGACCTTCTTGAGTTGAAGCCCCTGTTTCTGTGAATCCAAGGTTTTTTTTAAATTTGATATGTAGTTGATTCTGAAGAGACAAGGAAATTTAGGCTTTCACATAATATGTTATTAACATGAAAAAGAAGTCTATAATTGCGGTTAAAAGTGAATTTCATTTACAACCTGTTCAAGTAAACCAATAGTTTAAGTGTATCCTTTCCTTTGTTTAAATTGTATTCTTCAGTCTGAATCCATTTTCATTATGTGTTAACCTTTTTTTCATCATTGTCTTATGGTGGTAGGCTGTATTTAAAAATAAGCATCCTTCAAAAAGAACTTGTCTTGCCAGATGGATTATTATTGAGTGACTAATATGGGAGAATATGATATTGGTAGATCCCATTAAAGAGCAGAGGCTTCTAATTATGATGGTACTTGTAGGCTTCAAGACAAATTCTTGAAATTATGCTCAAATGTGACTTAAATGTGAAGTCAGTTATTCATGACTTTGTTTGAAATGATCATATTTGTACATGAGTAACTAGAGCTTATTGAGTGAGTGGTATTGCCTCAATTGCAAATCAAACATCTTGTTACTAAAGAATTTCAACCTATTGTGACAGACTTTAGATTTAGGTTGCCCATTGCATGCCTATCCTGGTCTCAGCTACATTGTACATTCTCTGTACTGTCCACTGAGATTCATTCCATTACTTTATTATAGCTCTATTATAGCTCTAGGTAGTGATGTTGATGTTACTCTTGATGTAACAATTCTCAGAAATGTTGATAGGAATTCAGGACATGATATTCATTTTAATGAACAATCCAGTACATAGAAAAAATTTTAATGTCAAGTTTGTAACATTTTATATGCAATTTTCTATGTTACTCCATAAGTTACTCCTATTCAAGAGTAAAAAATTACAAGATTTGTTACCCTTTTTTCAGAGTAACATAGCTAAGAGTGTACCGATGAGGAATTTCACCAATATTCGATTAATCGATATTCATCAAGAAGAGCCCGATATAGTCGGTATCGATAAATCATTATGAAAGTCTCACAGAGACCAGCGTTATTATTCCATGAGACTGGGAGTCATACTGATCAAGCCTATTGCGGGCTAACCTACAATGCTTTTGTAAAAGAAAAGGAATTGAATAAGGTGGAAACTCTACTTTTAATTTTTTTGACAGTGGAAATCGGATTAGGCCAAAAGTAGTGGAGAAGTATGTGGAGACCATTTCTGACTGAAAGTTGGCATAGCATTTCCTCTTGTGCCAAAACCAGAATCCTCAGAATGTATCTGAAGGGGAGAGCTACTGTTGATCCACACCTCCCGGAACATATAAAGACAAAAGAATTAGGCCCGAATGCTAAAACCTCTTTTACCTAATGGCCCTTTAAGAAACCGTCGAGTCCTATGGGGGGCAAAAAGCTATTTGACATGAAGGTCCCTATATCTCACTCAACCCTAATCCGGCCAAGTGTGTTGGAGTATGTTGTGAAATTTTGTTAACTTATGCATAAATTTAATTTACGCCAACAGTACTCCTCAATTCTCTACAATTAGACGCTGTCTGTATGACGTGAATACAATGTGAGTCCGTCGGACCCATCTTGCCCGTTTGCATTACTCCTTCCAGTTGGCCGAACGAGGGTTAAATGAGGTTTCAGCATTCTGGCATGAATATCTAGTAGGAGCAACGAAAATGCATGCGCACGAACATCCGACGTCCAGTCGGGCAGCGAAGGGAGTGTTTATTAATTGACCTTAAAGGGATATGGAAAAGATGGAGGTGAGCAGTGACCATAGAAGGGTGGCAGAAAGGAGGTAGAGACATGGGGTGGATTGCGTAAAACTGACTTTAGCGTAATGTTTCATGCAATCCACCCATGGTCCTTAGAATACCTGGTCACGCAGCCCATCTGACTCTAGGGACAGGAACGGCCGCCAAGGCGGCCCTGCTGTCGGCAGGAGTGATGGCGCTCTACCCATAGGCATGGGTCAGGCGGTATACACTCATCAATTTCATCATGATCCTTGTATTTCCCCTGCGCTTCCTTTTTTCCTATTCCATCACAAAGCCATTTTCTGTGACTGTCTTGTTTTGCCTGGGTCAAAGATAGCTTCACTGCTGGATTTATTGTGCTCAACATAACTGCGTTAATATTCAAGTAATTTCATGTTTAAATATTAGATAAAACTAGGCTGGTGGGAATTGATAGTTACATCATATGAACTCCTCCTTTGTAAAGCTTTGGTCTATGTTACTACTATAACTTGAGTCTCAGAAACCATCCCAGCCGCTCCAGTGTATGTTAAATATCCTTCCACCAAAGATGACCCAAACCATTATTGGCTTATGAGAAGACGTTTGTAAATTAGGCCAAGGGCCCAGGCATATGAAATACTACGGGCCAAATTCTAAGTCTCCTAAAATTGGATTTTTGAACGGGACAAAACGGGGATTATACCTATGTGACTTTCGCCTTCGAGATCTCAAAGGGCCAGATGTGACCTGTCTCTTCTTAGGCTTCCTCTTCGGGGGTAGCTTTTTTGAAAGATAGGAGGGGAAATTCGGAAAAATAGTCGGTTCTGCGTCGTCAGTTAACGCCCATCTTTCCCGGTCGAGTCTCACAGCTTCTCACCTGATAAGGTGCTGGTCACTTTTCACAACAAAACGTTCCTCAAAGTGGAGATCAAACGACGCATGAACAGGTCAAGTTCCGGTCCTTCCAAGGAATCAAATCGTGCCACCTGCTTACCAGGTCCAGGTTCAGCACCAGGTGCTGCACCTTTTTTGGAGAATCGATAACCACTAATGCAACCAGGCACAAAACAACAAGAAGGCATAATTCTAGATAAGCTGCTTAAAACTCGAATGTCTCGCCGAGCAGCGCAGCACCGTAAGCGATTGCAGCACTGCCCAAGCGAGAGCAATTGTCCCTAGCAAAACTTTGCCATTGGCTCTATACGAAGCTGCGTGACCAGGTATTCTAAGGACCATGGTAGAGATGTCCGTGGGTCTTGGCCGGGGCCAATCGGAGGAGGCTGAGATCAGGGAAATAGGCCTATAGTGGCAAGAAAAAGTTAGTTCTCATTTTTTACCTAATTGTTTAGTTGAATTCAAAATGTCATATGCTCTGTTGTGTCTTGGTGTTGTGTTATGACACTAATGAAACTCTCCTCTGTTGAGGGCTGAGAACCATTTTCTCCCAAATTTTCTCCTGAACATGAGAAAATAGATAGGAAAGATGTCAAAGTCTCTTAACACGTTGGCGACAATGCGTCCTGATGCCAGGATGCATATTTTTTTTCAATGAATTGTGGAACTGTTGAGAACGTTCCATAAGATTATGATTTCGTAATTACTGNTCAAAGTCTCTTAACACGTTGGCGACAATGCGTCCTGATGCCAGGATGCAGATTTTTTTTCAATGAATTCTGGAACTGTTGAGAACGTTCCAGAAGATTATGATTTCGTAATTACTGATAAAAATTCCTAAAAATTCAACATGTTAAAAAAACTCGGCAAAAAAAAATGTTTTCTGGGACCATGCGTCCTGATGGTAGGACGCATTTTTTGACAAAAAAAATGCGCGTGGTCCCACGCGGCGGACAAGCAAAAATAGGCTGGTCGTCAACGTGTTAAACATAGCTGGAGAGGAGGTTGTAAAATTGTAGTAGCAGAAAGGCTCAAAATTTGAGGTCCAGGAGGCCAAATCAATGCTGGAGAATGAATAAGAGAAAGAAAAATGTTCTATTCAATACATCTGACACACTGCGTAGTTATGGACCTTGTTGTTTTCCACGTGGTTCTTACATCTCAGAGGAAATTCTGGAAAACAACTTTTCCCTCATGACAAAGGAGTCTTATGAGCCTAATACGTGCTACGGACTACATACGTTCTTGCACATATTTTCGAAACCGTTTGTCCCAACTTAATGGGAGTCGCGGTTCGAGCAGGCCTAGGAGCATCTTCCAGTGTTTGCGATCTTGGACAATGGACTCAAGCTCGGCAGGTGGTATACCGAGCCTCTCGTGGCAAAGATTCGCATTGTAGTCCGACCACCTTGCACGAAGCCTACGACTGGTCGTCTATCGGTCATTTTAGATTGGAAGACTTTGAGAGTCTCTTGGGAGGCATGCGGGGAAACGTTTCCAAACCAACTGGCTTGGGATCTCTCGGTCCGAATACGTAGCTGCTCGAACCCGAGGCTCTCACGGATGGCGTCGCTCCGCCTGCTCTCGCTTGGCGTTACACCGGCCACCTGCCGTAAGAACTTAATTTCGACAGCTTGTATCCATGACCTAATTCTATTGGTCATAATCCACAGTTCGTGACTATAGGTGAAGGTGGGGAGGAAAACCCTCTTAAAATCCGAGAGAGCTTCGCCTCCTTGGAAATTTAAGATTTGGCAACCACAATTCTTCAGAGTTTTTGCAAAACTGGAAGTCTTGGAGGTTAGCCTGTCGATCTCGTTTCCGTATCGCCCGTCACCCAAGAACCAGACCCCAAGGCACTTAAACTTCTCCATCTGTTCCAGTGGAATATGTAACATTACATTTAAGGCGTACAGGACGTTTGGAGAGGGACATAACGAGCGTTTTGGGGAAGCTCAATTCATTTCGACGGCATTATATTCGGAACCGAACCGATCAAGCACGCCCGGACGCTCCTGTCGAAACTAGGTCAAAAATACATAATCGGAAAAGAGCCGTATCTTCATCTTGTGGGCCAAGCTACGTCTACAGATCCTATCCATGTACACGGAGAACAGGAAAGGAGAGAGAATGCAATCCTGATGGAGTCCCACACGTACAAGGAACGAGTCCCAACTCATCCCATTCACCCGAACACAACTCCTCCAATCCTATTACTTAATCCTAATATCTAACTGTTTTACAGTATGTAGTCGCGCTAAATGCGAGGGAAGACTACAGTAAGAAAAAAAACAGCAAGTTTTATTGCCGGCAGAAAAGTTGGTACTCCCTCTGGCTGATGTCCAAGGATATTGGTTTCATCTCAGACCGTAGTGAACTAAGGCAGTTGCCAATTGACATGTGAGATAGCTTCAGTACTCCTTGTGCAAAGGCAAGCAGTAAGAGATAAATGTGTGATACAGTTTATTGCAGACCAGTTTACTACAATTAAGTTCTCAGCCCAGTATTGAATAATGAACTAGAAATATACAAAAATGACTGATCAGAACATTTTGACACACGACAACTGAAATTGCTATGTGATCTTGTGACGATAAAATTCAAGCAAAAAAGCTGATCTTTTCCGGTCCACTGTCGGGGGAGCCTCGACATTCGATTTTTCTCTAGTTAATCCTGTCTGGCCTCCCTGACAAAAAGTTATGCTAGTCCGGTCCAGAAATGTGCTTTGTTTCCAGTAACATTGTAATAAGAGACGAAAAAATATATATGGGGAATGGCGAGAGCACCCAAAGCAGGGGTATTTAAATTGGACTTGGCTGGGAATAAAATTGTCAGGAAATACGGACCAGAAACAAAAAAGGTTAATACTTTCACGATGAGGTGCATCATTTGTGGGTCTCAGATATTTCAAGTTAATTCATAATTGAATGCTGCATCTTAACGCCATAACCACTTTGTCCGATTTATCTCGAACTAGTGTTCAAAAAGTTCGATTCAACTGGGGATTAAAGAACAGTTATCAGTACCCTTGAATGAACAGATTCTCGAAGCCTTCATTTCAGAGAAGCAAAAAAAAAAGGAGAAAGAGAAAGACCTGGGGGTCCTTGTGAGGAATGCATGCCAGCCCAGAAATATAATAGGAAATCATATTTAAGAGCCATACTTTACATAAGTTTCCATCTGCAAAATGGATTTTAGATTTAACCTTTTATGACGTCAGTCTTTGCCCTTAGGATATGTCATTATCCCAAAAATCTGGGAAATGACACCCCCCAGGAGTGCTGTTTCCAAATGAATAAATTGAGAGTTAAGATATTAACTCGTTGAGTTAAGTTGAAGTCTGGAGTTGGCTGCTTTCGAACATGCTTTGGGCACTGTGCATTGTATTTGAAATTCGCAAAATAAAGGTTTATCAAAAGTAAATCCTAGAAATGTTTTGAGGGCATTGATGCAGCTGGGAATCAATGTCCTCAACTCATGCAGATCCGATAATCCAAATTTTTAACTGACCCAAAACATCTATCTGTGCTCGTAATGGGTGTTGTGACAAGACAATGACTGTCTGCCCGTGTGCTGAAGAACCCGTGATTTCATATGATACAACAAAAATGAGTTATTGAGTCTTGTGCAAAAAAATTGGCGTAAAACAGTGGGATATTGACTAAAGGAAGTAAGCATATTCATGAATCTGAGAGTCACAAAACTGGAAGTAGGCCAGGTGACGATTCGAGACGATTTTTCCTCCGACTGGGAGCCGAAATCCAAGTAGAAAGGATTAATATATTGATTGTGAAGGTGGCACTTAGAGGAGCGCGTACATGGATTTCGTCTCCGTGGACTTCATTTTGATTATCGAATACCTCTTTCAGATGGTGAACAAGAGAAAGGGATGGAGAATGGAAAGGAGGAGAAAGTGAATGATCGGGAGCTTGAAAAGCTGGACATGTTGGGGATGCTCGGCCTGCGAAGGAAGCGAACGGCCGATTCCCCACCATCTCGATCTGAGGAACCTAAAGCCAAGCAACGAAGGCGGCAATCTGTGTCCGAGAAACCCGCAGTGAAGCAAATGAGGCCTCGGTCTAAGATCGAGAAATATGAAGTAAAGCAGGAGTCCCCGTCTCATTTTGAGGAACCTGTAGTCAAGAAGGACAAGTCTCATTCTGTGGCACCTCCTAGTCCTCATCACTTATCCTGACTCTGATGTCATTTACCTTCATGCTTCGTCTTTTATTGGTGTGAAATTTTGACCTTTCACGTGGTTGACATACAGCAGGGAATTCCCTGCCATACTTTCTCGTTCTCTGAGAAAGAGAAGATTCTGGTGAAGATGTGACATTGGTCCTTATCTGGGCGAACTTGAACTTCTGTCTTGGATGCATGCATCTGGCTTTCCACTTCCTCTCCCTGTCTTTCATGGATCATTTGCTGTAGATGAACGTGTGAGATGATTCAGAGAATCCCCAGATTCATATGCTTCTTTTTTCCTTATGTTCTTGACATCTTCATTGTCATTGATCTCAGCTGGGCAGCAGAATAATAAAAGTGTGGATGTTGAAGCGTGTATCACAATTACTCACCGGACTTCGTGTTCCTGATACTCATAATCGGATCGATCCCTCTCATGAATTATGATAGAATCATGGGGGAGTAGCTAACCATATGTGCTTCGTGTTTTACGAGCAACGCTCGTTAATCGTCATCTCATTACATTTTCCGTTTGCCCGTTAATCGTCGTCTCGTTATATTTCCCGGGAGGGGAGAGATATGGGAAACTTCAACTGCCGGTATCTCGGTCAATGTCTGGTTTGCGTGAATCCATACGGTCGACCGTGATCGGTCGCTGTGTCTCATTTATAGCTAGTCATTACAGAGGGAGACAGCATCGATCAAGCTCTGTTTTCTTGTGAGAAAAGCGGGAAAACGACCCCAGTTCCAGTCAGTCCGAAGCCATATCTTGATATGGGGGCACACTGACCCCCGGATCCTTCGATTGTTTTCTCAATTATTCACGACTTCGGGTATTCCGCGATAACATCTCCACCGGGGTCTATACGTGCATATTGTATCATTGGACATGACGACGTTGGACGTGTTCGGTCGCAAAATTCCTCAGTCATACTCCGATCAGGATTTTCACAAGGTAAGACTATTTTCCTGGTCTTTTTTATCCCGCTCCAACGAAATTGGCGGTTTGGTGAGTGGTACAGTTAGTTGTAAAAATAGAACAATACTGTTTTATTTACCAGCGCGGAAGGAACTGACGGATCGTCCTGTAACAATTCGCCATACGGACGAGAGCTTTCGTCATTTCAGATTCCTTTTTCATTTTAGCTCTTCTGCTGTTGGCACACAGAATGCACTAAGTGCAATGCAATTAATGGTCCCGCTCAGCTGAATACAGACGGGAAAAGAGGGCTAGGATCACCACCAAGAGAGAAGGAACTTTTTCCTCTCTCGACGGTCTCTCTCAAGGATAGTTTTTTTTTTCTGACTGTTTCTCTGGATCCTTGACGCACTGGAGGACGTGACGGCATTCGGCAGGCCTGGCTACGGAGCGCCGCGACGAACGGTCTCTGGAAATCTCATCACCAGTCTCCGAATGGATCCCGCCATACGGTACAACAACGAAACGGATTACTCCTACTTGGAGCGATACGAGAGGAAGTCCCGGACCCGGATGAACGCGGAAAAGGACGAAGGAACGGACCAGGATGGATCTTTCCTTTCGAATCCGAGTCCCCCGACCACGAGTTCTCCACCGCAAGAGAGTCCACAGTATGCGTCCACTCCTCCAACCGAAGGCGCCACTGGTGAATCCACGGAATTTTTTTTTTCTAAGTTTCATCTTTCCCATATAGTCATCTATAGGAATTTCAGTCGTCGCAGCGAACGGAACCGGTGAGGAGACTCCCCGACCGATAACGATGGAATCCTTCGAATCCCATTCGTCGAACGAGATTCGACCGACTCGACCTCGCCCTCAGTATCTCATCCACCGCCGAGACCTCCTCGAAAAACTGGTAGGCTTCGACCGCCCATCGCCCTCAGTGACTTCTCGGACTCGGACGGAAGCGACTGCGATCTCTCCCCTTAGGGATGGCTGGATTCCAACCGAGACGAGTGGAGCGTCACGCGTTACCGGGAGGCGTTGCAGAAGCACATCGCCGATGCCATAAAACGGAGGAAGGAGGAAAAGGAGCGGAATCGGTCTGAGGTATGCCTGGCTTTGCCTTTAAAGGAAAGACTAGAGTAAATTGCGTCGTGTGGAACAGAGAGAGGGAAAAGACTAATAGGATGGGTTTATTCAGGTTTGAAAATGTTGGAAAATTCAAGGGAAAAAGAAATGGGATTTGTATTTAATTAAGAGATATTTCAATATTTTCCGTATTGACGGGAAAGAGGGAATGAGGAAAAACAAAGGAAGATTCGAGAAGGATGTTGACGATGGTATCGGGAAAGCGAATGCCGTGAATAAAAAAACAACAAAAGTTTGAGTCAGAGAATCCATTACGAAATGAGCTGGAAAACTCGGAAAAGTGAGAGTTGATTCTCGGTAATTGGTAGGAACCCTAGATGAAGGTCTGCCCGACGTTTCCTCGAGGATTGATCTCTTTTTTCCTTCTCTGTCTAGGGGAGCGAGGACCTGGCATCCGTGCTTCAGACGAAGAAAGTGGGGAGACCGAGACGAGATCCGAAGACGGGGGAATTGACGAATCCTTTGGGATCCACGGACATCACCGATCAAAGGAAAGTCGGATCTCAGGAAAAGGGTTCCTACGATTTCATGAAACACGATCCCGCCCTCTATCGACAGTCCCTCCGCGAGCAGGAAGAATCCAAGCATCTGGAAACCAAGGTCATTTGCTTTTTTTTCGTCTGCGCGAGTGCGATCGATGGGGAATGTAAACGAAACGCGAATACCCAGAGCACTCGTCTCGACTAATACCGGGGATTCCAATCCCAAAAAGTGGATTTGAAATGGATCTCGCCCCGTTATTCCTTCGCAGAAGCGACACGAGGAAGACCTGGCCTGGAGCGCAAAGCACACCGAGACCTGGGCGGGATTCTGGGGCCGACCCGGCTACGGAGCCCCGATCACCGGCCGCTCCAAACGGAGGAACCTCTGGGCCATGCTCGCCGGGATCCCACCCTCGACCCCAACGGGCCCTCGGGCTCAATCCTCTTCGGGCTCTGGCAACGGCCAGCAGGTAGCCGCCCCTCGCCCTCCCACCTCCTCCATCCAACTTTATTCCAATCGGCTTCAAGGTAGTGATATTTTGTCGATATCTTCGACTGCCTGTGTGCTGCCACACCCTCACTTTTCGGACTGCTCGTTGCACTGGGATGCGCTTGCACGGCCTCGTGGTCTTCCGTTTCGTTTCTCAGACGGTCCTCGTTCTCGAACGTTTCGTTTCGATCCCCAGGGTCTGGGACTTAAGGGGAAAGAAGAAGAAAGGGGAGTCCGTCGCTACGTGGTGCAGATCCCGAACAGCAGAGCGGAGAACCTCTACGAATGCGATTTGAAGAAACCCGTCACGACGAAAGAATTTCTCACCTACGTCCCTTTCGCTACGATCGTTTGATCTCATCGTCACGTCGTGTGCTCTTTTCGTTTTTCCGTAGGTTTTTTCGCGTCACTATCTTTCCTCTCTCATGCTGAATTTAGTGTTGTGAAATAAAAGCACCTCCTCACACCTTTTCGAAGTCAAGTTAGTTCTTCGGTGGCATTAAAATGAATTCGTGGTACCATTAGCATGAACTCCGAAAGCCTGTCACACGATTGCCATATTTTCAAGTACTACAAGTTCCAGAGTTAATCTTTTTTTTCACTCACCTCCCGCTCTCAACTCTAGAACACACCGAATAAGGACCTATGTAGGGGAAGGTGGTGTAAAATGGAATACTCAGGTAAAATGGGACACCAAGGTTTCAGTGACTCTGCATTGCTGCCATCTATCGACAGTGAGTGCATGAGTAGCAGGCATAATCACAGGCCATTTGCATATGACGACCTTCATTGGAAGCGAAACATCAGTGGATCAGGTGTGAAAACTTTTTTTGTAGGGTCTTCTGTAAAAATAATGGTCAATAAATGAAGCGTACATGTCTTTAAAAAAGAATAAATAAATAATAAATAAATAAACAGTTTATGATGACATGTCAATTAGGGATCCTAATGAAGTTGCTGCTTATCATCATAGTATTCTTTTTTTGTTCAGAGTCACTTAGTTTCGTTTTGGTCTCTGTTTCAACATGGAGGCATGACGCTGGGCAAAATGTGATAGCTCTCATGTGGATGAGATGGGACATATCCCATTTTACCCTTACGCGGAAAATCGTTTTGCAGCGTCGTGATTACGAGATGACATACTTCACCTCGACTTCCACACTATTAAGTAAATAACCATCAAAACTGATGAACTTTTTAAAACTATTCTATAATTCTATCCAAGAATGCCTTCAAATTATAAGCTCAAAACAAGCCGGCAGTCGTGGAGTGAAGATGCCATGAAGAAAGCTATTGATGCGATTTCCAAAGGAGAATGTGTATTCAAAGCAGCTGCCAAAACCTATAGAATGCCAAAATCAACACTGGAAACGCGAGTGAATGGAAAGAACAAACATGCAGTTGGAAGTTCATAGAGACTGAGAAGCAGACACCCAACTTTCTCCGTTGAACTAAGAGCAGCAACTTGTTAACTACTAAAAACATGGAGAATATGCTTTTAGGACTTCTGGCGTTCGTAATCTTGCCTACCGATTTACTGGAAAAAGGCATGATTTTGCATGTTGGTTGTATCCCAATTTACCCCAATTTCCATTTTACCAACATGGTCAGGGTAAAATGGAAAACTGCCCGAGTTTTGGGGGGAAAATTATTCGAGCCCCTTAATATAAATATTTTCTAGAATGCTTTCATTTCCTACGAACCAGATCCATTTTCAACCCACATGACAATTTTCGAAGCGTTTGATGCAATTTCCAGGCCTACAGGTTCTTGCATAACCTTTTGCCAGGGGGGTACGAGCTTAAGTACAAATAGAACAATTGTAAGTAATATCTCAATTTAAACCTTTATTCAACCTGAATACAGTCATGCATGAGTATTTTGTGTGACCACCATGTGCTTCGCGTGCAGCCCTTGAACGTTTAGGGTATAATTTACACAACTTTTCATAAAGTTATGCTGTTTTCCAGTTCATGAATAACATTTTGGAAGTTTTGAAGGTTCAGAATTTCAACCAAGGTCGAGCTCACTAATCATCATACAGTCGAACTCGGTTATAAGGAAACCTCGGTTATAACGAAGTCCATTCAAGGTCCCACTGACGAAATCGACAACGTTCCTGCCCCTAATCCGCCATTCTTAACTGAAATTTCCGTCATCGGAAAAATCAGCGTCGGCGAGCCATAACTTTATATTTCCTGGATTCGGTTGGGAGTCATGTGGGCTGGAGCAATGTCAGGGAGGGATAATTCCCAGCAACTAAGATCACCTCATCTTCAGTCGCCATTTGCATTTCTCGTGAATTTCTGTTCTGAAACAGAAATTTCTGTTCTGAAAATCTTACGTTAACAATCACTTAGCTCAATCTTAATATGGCTCACATGACCAAAAAAGGTTCCCGACCCCTGCTCTAAACCTAGCTCTCAGAATCTCTAAATCTAAAGCTAGTTAGGCCCATTCCAGAGGCCCGAGACGCTCTGAAGTTGCTCGGGCAGTTCCGCCCCGAAAAATATAAATAAATAGATAAAATAAACAAACAGAAAGCAGGGTCTCTGCAAATTTGGACTTGTCTTTGCGTTTCCTGTGGTCTCCGAAATACTCGAAGGTGAAGTAACGGACCGGACCTACCCTCCAAATTCCATCATTCTTGTCCACGAATTTGCGGCAAATCATGGTTTCAGCAAAGATGGGCAAACCAACTGTAGAAGTTTTTCTTATACTTCTCAAAAACCTTTCATTCCTTACCTCGCCACGTTCTCCTCTCTATTTTGCCTCAGTCTGACTTTTCTCCATCTGTGGTAGCAATTTTACTTAGCCATCTCTGTGACCGTGACGAACTCAAGTTAGGAAAGATTTTCTCGACAACTTCCTCCTAGAGCCGGTCCTAGCATACCCAGGTAACACAGAACATTGAATCAACATGGATTGGATGTGGATTGAGTGTACGAATGTTGAAGGTTGAAGGTGAACATTATTTCAATGTCGATACAATGTCGTCGCATCACATTGTGGATTCCAATTGGGGAATATACGGATTATATTTATTAGATGTGGCATAATTGTTAACCCCTCTTAAAATGATAAAGGGTGGGACCTCTCCAATAGGCTTTCGGAGTACTATCAACCTACCANCTGATGGTCTTGGCATCCACTGAAGCACGAGGTCCGTGAACATTCCGCCACCATCTCTGCACCTGTACCACGGACTGCCACACATCGTAACGGAAGGCCAGCTGAGATCGCTCATGCAGTGTCAGGCGACGGGCCATTATGGGCTGCTCTCGTCATTGTGAGATGAAATCAGAGATCATCAATTAAAGTCTACCACTGTAAGGATCACAATACATTTTGCTTCATGCAAATGCAGTACTATTTACAAAAGTTATAAGCAATTTTCAATAGGGAGTTACTTTTCAACCACCCTGTATATTAGAGAAATGTGGAATTATGATGTTCTGATTGCAGAATCTGATTCTGAGACAAATTAAATGTCCAGGTTTAGTGTGAGCGCATAGAAGTCTAGGCTATTGGAGACGTGTAGAGCACACATAAGAATAACCTGAAGTGATCCATTCACAAATTTTCTAAGGGAGAAGCTGAGGGAACTTATCCTCGTTTTGCAAACCAGTTAGGCATACAAGGCTTTAGTGCTGTTTGTAGAACTGAAAAGGACTCATCCTCTCAAACTTTTCACTACTCTGTGGGTACTGACCTATAGATACTGAAGAGGGTTTATCTTCTTTCTTATATGTAGTTCATCATCCACCAGTCATGCGATTCATTTTGATGAATTTACCTCTGCTTTATCCATGGAGAAACCCAATCACGAGGGACTCTTTGAGGAATGTTGATACAATGTTGACAAAAATGACATCTTCACATTGAATCAATGTGTCACCTCAATGTTGTTTCAACATTATAAATGTTGCCATGAAACATTGTTTCAATGTTGTTTCCACGTGGATGTGTTGCCACATTTCTCTAATATATGTGTTCATTAGTTACGTAATAAAAAGAGGAAAGTGGGAAGAAAACGCTTTATTGGAAGGTGACAGATTCGTAATTGCATTAGATGGCTACAGGGGAACATGGATACCATCTAGTGAGCGCTCTTGGTACTTCATTATGAACGCGCCTAGACTACACTACCCTAGTAACATAACGTTCATAAGAGGATGCAAGACGTCTCCGCGATGACCGTAGGATAATTGGAAATGGTTTATGTATTTGTTTCCGAATTAAAAAAAAAATCATTATTCAAATACTTTATAATAAACGGCATGCAACTCAATAGTTGTGGAGTCTCATTTTTTCCACATTGAAACCATGTTGTGGTAGGTTGATAGTACTCCGAAAACCTATTGGAGAGGTCCCACCCTTTATCATTTTAAGAGGGGTTAACAATTATGCCACATCTAATAAATATAATCCGAATATTCCCCAATTGGAATCCACAATGCGATGCGACGACATTGTATCAACACTGAAACAATGTTCACCTTCAACCTTCAACATTCGCACACTCAATCCACATCCAATCAATGTTGATTCAATGTTCTGTGTTACATGGGTACGATCTCTGGTGCTTTTTGGTATGTGACTGTTGCAAACAACAGCCGGTGAGGTTGCTGCTAGACTCTTATCTCCGTCTCTCGTTTGCTGGACAAAAAGTCCTCTTTCCGTCTATTGGCCCCTGTCGAGTAAGTTGCATGCATTCATCTGTAGCGGTTTGCTGCTGAATACAGATCACCAACGTTATTTATGATACATGCAGGAAGATAAGAATATCTCCCTCGAAAGACGTGCCATTAGGCATATAGAACCCATGCAAAAGGTGGTTAAAATAATGTGCAATTCATTATTTTCAATAGCATGTAAAATCGAACAATTCGGTGGATAAATTCAGAAAAGAAATCGAAGGCGCTCGCCTGATCCTCTTGGTCATCACCACTGATGTAGAGGTGCATGAGGGTCAACCGATGAGATTGCAAGACTGTATTCCGTATAATGCCCGTCGGGGGTATGAGACTTTTGATCCCGCAGACACCTCTAACGCTGACGCATTCCACGTGGAGGGGACGCAGGCTCCACGGAGGCCAATCGGGATCCGTTACTTGCATGGCGGCTTACAGACTTCTAGGCATTGGGCAACCGAAGCAGATTTTCCTCGCGTAAAACTATACTCAGTTCTCGGCAACAATTGTCCTAAAGTGCCTCATTTCCTCTGATTGGGTTTCCGGAACCGACACCATCAATCATGGATCACATTATGGTATTCGTTGAGCCTGCTAAGCAGTTTTCCAAGGATTCACTTCGACTTGTCAAGAGGTGCACCAAGCCCGACAGGAAAGGTGAGTAATACTAGCACCATGAAACGTAAAGATAAGCTCTCGGTTCGCGATAAACTTAGCATCTTGAAACTTATTTTCCATTTTGATCTTGCAGAGTTCCAGAAAATTGCTATGGCAACTGCAATTGGATTTGCCATTATGGGCTTCATCGGCTTCTTCGTCAAGCTCATTCACATTCCCATCAACAACATCATTGTGTGAGTAATCGCAGTTTTTCTTTGAAGTCTTTCAGACCAAACTTTAGATTTGATTTTATCATCTTTCCTGGCCTAATCGAGGCTGGACAAGTAAAGACCTCTGTTGTTAGTGTCCAATAGACTAAGTCCTTGTTTTTCTTCACCTACGATGTCCATGATTTTCGTTTCCGCAGTTTGTCGAGACCAAGTGGCATCAAGGTTTTTATTTTTCTGTGCAGAGGCCTCTGACAACATATTTAAAATTTCAATAAGTGGCAGGCAAAGAGTGATCTTGTCATTTGAAGATTGGCTGAGTTGAATAGGAACACTTATATGAAGACTGAAGCAAAATATTGAAAGTGAAAATGTAAAGGTAATTTTTGGACACAAAAGCCCACATATGTTGCATTCACTTTGATGCTTGTGCCAGCTCAAATAAATTTGCTTCCATGCTCAAAAGAGGTAGAAAAGTTACAATGACTCCTGAGAATGTAGGATTTCATTAAATTTTATTATTGGGGTATGGTTGAGGTGGAGCTGAGTTCAATTCGTTTTTCCATGGAAATAGGTGCGTGACAGTTTCTTGAAACTTGAATGGATTTATTAAATGGATGGGGAACACACTGAAAAGTGCCACAAGTGTGTGAACAAATAGGAGGGGAATGATGATCCTTATTGGACAAGCCTGACATAATTGCCTTCCTTTGTCACTGTATTCCATTTTTATGAGACTGGGAAATGTGGCAACAACTTTGATGTCTATTGGGTTCTAGATACTTATTACTATTACCATTACTACACATTGTGTTGCCAGGGGTCAATGAGGTAGGTGTGGTTGAGGTGCACCAAATCTCTCACACCTTGGAGCACAGAGTGGCCTATGTTTGAACCCAAGGGAAAGCAGGTTTTGCCTACTGTCAACCCAAGAGAATATCACCTACTGTCAGTCAAACCTGGGCCTCCCACTTGTTAGCCCAAGACCATATTCAATGAGCCATGGCAATGCAGCATGATTAAAAGGATACTTTTTTTTTTTGCTATGATCTTCATGCTTAATTCCTGATGAGTCAGGACTTTGGCATGATAAGCCTAGAGATGTTGCATTCATTGGTCATGTGTAGGCCTGTACCTTGGTGTAATAATCAGGGACCCTCCTAGTTTTTATTATTGTGCTTAACCCCTTGAACACACCAGAAAATGAATCTGAGTGCACCCATGATACACTGACTTTTCTGACAATACTCATGATTTATTTTACAAACAAAGCATTATTTGATGGATTGGCTTATTTTGTGTCTACTTTAGCTCTTAGCCTAGGGGTTCTAAAAGCTTTTGTGGTATTTCTGGAAGCAGTTCTTCATGTGTAAGCCCACTTTGCTCTGCTGGCACTGGCGGAACTGTGATCTCTGCCATTGCATCATCACTGTCACCAGAGTCACCAGAATCATTTTCTGAATGCCTGCTAACATCTCTCGAAGAGTTCAATTCCTTACTTGAAGACTCATTCAGAATTATTCTACTCGTATTCAAAGTCAAAGTCACTCTCACACAGTAAATTACTGACCAAACTTTCTTCAACACCACGTTTTCCCTTCCTTCGCAATGCCATGACTGCTTATAAGGAGAGTGCACCAGACAGGATACTTTTTCTGCAGAAAAAGGCGAGCTTTAACTGGAAGGCTGGGCTAGTATGATATATGCCAAATATTGGAGAAATGACCAGTCATCATGCAGATGTCACAGTGAGAGTGGTCGCAGTGGGAAATTTCTAAATTCACTTGATGCACCCATATGCATCATGAGTGTATCAGGGATGGACCTGGCCCATGACACATATGGGTGCATCATGTGTGTTTAATGCTCATTCATCCCTAAGTTTTTGTGAATTACTTGTCATTTTCACAATATGAAAGTAGGATTCAAACAAGGCTCAATCAGTTGTGACCCAAGTAGTGAGTTGTCCACTTGCATTTGGTGCTTTGTATTGTGATCTTGAATGACAGCTGAATGCCCTTCTAGATGGTGCTAAGAAAGGGTGCGGTATAAAGAAGCACAGCATTCCATTGATTCAAATGGAATCAAATATTCTTGGTAGTGTTCTGACTCTTATCATCCCCTCTGATTAAAGAGATCTATACACTGGGTACAGAATTTCCATAAGCCTTTATCTATATCTGATATTGCCTCCTGAATGCCCATCCTTGGATGTCACAGCCCAATATATTTATTCACAAAATGCTCCTAAGCCTGACTGAAAGTGCTTTTTCTCTAGTCACATCCAAAAGTCTAGTAGCATCAGAAGTGAGTAATCGGAGTGAATCTTGTTTTGTTTCATATTTCTTGTTAAGGATGGTGTCAATCTACCTACTCCATCTTCCTCATCTGTCACACCTGCCTTGTTGGGAATGTTGAAATTCCTGCTTATCAGGCTCATGGGTTTTTGCATCAACTGGTCCATGCCATATTTGCAGACTTGTTCATCCGTCCTTCTCCTCTTTTCGTTGTATTGCTCGATGAAGTGGGAATGCTATAATGGGGAAACCTGAAATATAGAACCGTTTTTTCCCTCTCCTGTCAGGAGTGCGTGTATGAGACAAGGTCGAGAATTAATTAAAAAGTCATGCGCAGGACCTGTTAACGTCGTCCCGTTGGGGTAGACGCTTAGGAATCTCGAAAGACTAGGAGTCGGAACTCGGACGGAGTGATCCCGCGGGAGGCCCGACGAGGAGGTTTTCGACCATCATGGGCCTTACCCGCAGTACCCCAGAGCCTGTGCGGCATCGATCCGTTCGCCTTCCCCCCCCTCCCCCCCCGCTCTCTCTCCCCTCCTCTACTCTCCCTTTCTGTCTCCTCGCCTCCGATTCTTGGCACAGTGTGAACGGGGCCCAAGTGGGGGGGAAATGCCGACTCCGCGTTCCTTGTTCGTCCAGTGCCTGGACCTCGTCCTCTGTCATCTTTTAGACACCTACAAGGAAGAAGGGGATCTGGTGAACGAGAATTCCTTTTGGAAGGGATTCCTCGATCACCTTCCTCAGCCTCTGCTATCTGCTCTCCAGGCCCGTAGCCGAGGACCCGATGTCCTGTACGGGTCGTGGCCTTGGACGTTTTCACTTCTCCCGGCTCATCATGTCAAGTTCCTGTTCAACCAGATGTGGAATCAATGTTTCCCGAGCCACATCCAGGACCTTGTATGGTACGCGAACTCTCCAGACGCCCCGGGGCCGCCTCGGTGCGATTGGCCGAGAGTCCGATCCTTGGAGATTCGGGATTTTGACGGAAGCCTTGCCCTTGCCCTCGGCGTGAGACCGAGGCCTTTCAGTCTTTTGTTGCCCAAGGAGCACGGAATGATAAAGGAACTGTTGACGTCGGCCAAGAACGTCGTGTCTCTGTCCCTCGTGAAATTCTGCACCGACGACTTTCTGGGTGTCATCGGGCGGAACTGTCGGCACTTGGAACACCTCGACGTGTCCTTGTCGCACACCGTCACGGACGCCGGGATGATGAAGCTGACCGGTTGTGGTTGCGGCTGGGGTTGGGGTTGGGGCCGGTCCCTTTGGGACGCCATCACCGTCGGCATGGGGAAGTTGATGTCGTCGCTCACTCTCCATCAGCGAATCCCTCATCTCTTCCTTACGCACGCTTTTCCCGTCCACCTTTTGAACCCGGTGTGTTCCACGTTGAAGGTGGTCGTGATTCAATATCCCGGCAGTGGACTCACGGCTCGAGGTCTTCTCCTCCTTTATCGCCAGTGTCGATCTCTGGTCAAGATGGATCTGGACAATCATCTTCCGACGGGGATTAATCGGGGGATCTCCACTTTCCTCATCAAGACTCGGCTCCGAGTCAGACCGTTCTCTCACGCCCGGGACATGCATTATATGCTGGACGAGAGTTCTGCGTTGAATTTGCGGCTGGCGAGTCGCACGTTCCCGGAAGTGAGATCTCTGAATCTGGTTCGTCGGATCCAGAGTCAGCCCATTCCTTTACCTCCCGAAGACGAGGAGAACGGAGCACCCTTTTGGAAGGAAGTTCAGACGGTTTCTTTCACGGACTTCCCTCCCAGGGACGTGTTGAGGTTGTTGAGGAGACTCGCTCCACCATCGAATTACGTCAGCCTAGAGGCCGTGTTCGCTCCCAAAGGAATGGAGCTGGATCTGCGTCTCCTGTCTCACGCCTGCCCTTGTCTCAAGAACCTTAGCCTGTGGAACGTGAGGCTGAACGTCACTTCTGGTCCCTGTCCCGGTTTCCGGGGCCTCGGACGCCTTCACCTTCGCTCGGTGTCCTCGTTGAAGAGACGAGAGGTTCTCGAGGCGCTCTTCGCTCACACGGACTCTCTCGATTCCCTGGTCGTAGAGAGCTGCTCGTATTCGGGTGACATCCTCGTCGACATCCAGGAACTGGGGGTGTCCTGGTTCCCGCGGATCCGTGAGGTGATCGTGAGCGACGTGTGGAGGAGCAAGGCCCCGGTCACGATGAAAGGATGGTCCTTGATCATGCGACTCTGTCCGAATCTGGAACGAGTGGGGCATTTGAGGGAATGGAGTCTAGACGAGAGGGAAAAGGAGGAATTGCTCCATGTCGCCGCTTTTTCCTGCTCCGATCTCTTCGTCCAGAGGGACGCCTCCGATCACCTCTGACTTTCACGTCCTCTTCTCCCTTTTCGGTGGGCCTTTAGTCGAGGAAGAAATTTGACAAGTCATTGTTCCGTCCTGTCTGTGCGTTATCACTTTCCTTGTTGGAGGTTAACTCGCTAGTAAGCCCCATTAGCTGTGAAAATGGACAAGAGAGCGCTGCGCGTTTGGGAAAAGATGCAAGTTGAGTTCGTTATTCTTGCCATGAACGGACTCTTTAATAGCGAATCGAACATTCATAGACATTAAATGGTCTGACGATAGGGAATAGGTTTCTCTACACTCCACCGTTTCTCATATATATATTTTTCTTCGATTCTCTTGTGGAGAACGAGAAATGAAATGGAGACCAACTGAACTGTCTCAGCATGTTATTTCTACTCGCATTAACGTC